TGCAACCCTAGCCAATGCACTTGATCTCCCAGGCCCCCAGCTCCCCTTTGATGAGATAATGCACCCTTGGAAAGAGTATAGCCTGTAAGAAGGAACATGCCTCCAAGTAGTAAAAAGACTTGAGAACGATTGTGTTAATGCGTATTTTTTAGATATCTGTTGACAGGAGAACAGTATCAAGAGCTCATATCTCAGGAGGAAGGTTCCTTGAGCACTTTTATTTCCATATATTAAGTGGAGATTGAAGAAGGGTAATTCAATATGCATCTGTTCAACAATTGTGATACCGTATACCAGGCATGTGCTAAAAGCTTCAAGAGCTACACAATAAATCACTCGCTTTAACACATTAATACCTTCACACTGATACAAAGACAATGACTGTGGTTGTTAATTTTATGTGTCAGTATGACTGAGCCTCAGGTACCCAGACATTCCTCCAAACACTATTCTGCTGTGTCTTTGAGGGGGTTTATGGATGAGACTAACATTTGCATAAAGGAGAGTGCCCTCTCTAATGTGGGCAGGCCTCATCCAGTCAAAGACCTCAATAGGAAAAAGTCTCAGTAGGAGAAAACTGCTCCCACCAGACCACTTGACTCAGGACACCATCTTTTCTAGCCTTCCCACTAGGACTCAGTCATCTGTTTTCCTTGGGTCTCCACCTACCGACTTTCAAACAGGAAATAAACCATCAGCTCTTCAGGTTCTCCAGCCTTTGGACTTAAACTGAAATGACATATTGGCTCTCCTGGATCTCCAGCTTGTGAACTGCGGATTTTGGGACTTCTCAGCCTCCATAATCACTTGAGCCAATTCCTTATAATAAAATTATACATATTATATATTATATTAATTATAACACAGACTATTGGTTCTGTTTCTCTAAAGAATCTTAGCTAATACAAGAACCAATCTCTAAACTCCTTAGCATGGCCAAAATGCCCTATACAACCCGGCCCCCATCTAGCCCTCCAACTAAATCTCAGACCATGGAGTGCCACTTCCTCCACTCCACCCCACTGGCTTTCTTCCATGTCCTCACACATACTGTGTCCCTTCTGTCATGAGGTTTTTACTCATTTATTTATTCATTCATTAATAAATTCAACTAGTTATTGAGTTTCTACTATGAGTCAAGCACTGAGGTGGTACTGGGAATATAAAGTGAACAGGTAGGCCAGGTGCGATGGCTTATGACTGTAATCCCACCACTTTGGGAGGCCAAGGTGGGCAGATCATCTGAGGTCAAGAGTTCAAGACCAGCCTGACCAAAATTATGAAACCTCATCTCTACCAAAAAATACAAAAAAATTAGCTGGGTGTGGTGGCACATGCCTGTAGTCCCAGCTACTTGGGAGGCTGAGGTAGGAGAATTGCTTGAACCCAGGAGACAGAGGTTGCAGTGAGCTGAGATCACACCACTGCACTCCAGCCTGGGAGACAGAGTGAGACTCCATCTCAAAAAATAATAATAATTTTTTTAAAAAAATTTAATTAAATAAAATAAAGTGAACAGGTAACAAAGTGTCTAGTTTCATGGAGAATATATTCTAGTCATAGAAGACAAAAATAGATCTACAGCCGTACCTGAACACACCTGATCTTTGAAGCTAAATGAGTTCCAGCCTGGTTAGTACTTGAATGGGAGAAGACAGAGAAAGCATGTAAATAAACAGGTTAATTTCAGGACATGACACATGCTTCAAAGGAAACAAAACAGGATGATAGAAACATTTGGTGATCAGAGAAAGCCCCACTCATAGGTGTTTTTTAAGCACAATTTTATACGAAGGGGCCATCCATGTGAAGACCTGAAGAAGGAACATTCCAGGCAGAGAGAATTGCAAACACAGAACTAACACTGAGATAAGCTTATCTACAGATAGACACAGAGAGAGAGAAAGAGAGAGAGTGAGAGTGAGAGTGAGAGCAAGAGAGAGAGGGAGAGAGAGAAGCTTATCTATCTATCTATCTATCTGCCTATATAGATATAGATAAATAAAGTGTGGCTATAGCACAATGGGGCAGCAAGAGAAGGTAGCTGGGTAACCAGAAATAAGATAAAGCCTTAATAGACAATGTAGGCTTTACATTTTTATTTGAAGCACACTGAGAGGCTTTGACATCATCTGATTTACATGTTTGATTTCACACTGCAATGTGTACCAGTGGACACGGGGAGACTAGCAAGGGAGGTTTGCGGTAAGGATGACTGGTAGTAGTAGCTTGTTTTATGGGGATGTCGAAAAAAAAATGAAGAAATGATTCAGGGTATGTTTTGAGGTGGAACAGATAGGAATTGCCCATGTGGCTGGAGAAAAGAAAGGATGACGCCTAGGTTTTTGACTTGAACAATCAGCTGGACAAAAGTACCATTTCTGAGATATGAAATTCTGGGTAGAGACGGGACTGGGACTGGGGGAGGCATGGGGCAAACTGCCCTACTGTTTTTCTCTCAGGACTGTTTTTCACTCCCTCTTCACCTTGTTAACTCCTTCCTATTCTTTGGATCTCAGCTCAAATGTTACTTTCTCAATGAAGTCCTTCCCTGACGAGTTCAAACCAAAGCTCTGTATTAAATATAGGCTCAATTGCTGCCATGTAGTTTCCCTTAGTAGTAGATTGGAAAAGTGGTCACCAATTCCTCTGCCAACCACACCATCCCTAACATTTCCACTGCCCTCCCACTCTCATCCCGCTGGTCTAGGCCACATGACTTGCGTCCACCAACAGGGCATCAGAAAACGCAACACAGGCAGAGTCTTGAAAGGCGCTTGTGCGGTAAGTAGACTTGTCCTGCTACGCTGTTTCGGAACTCTGAAACCATGAAAAGAAGTCTGGCTGACATGCTAGACAATCAGAAACATATGGCTCCTGCTGATGACCTGCCACTGCCATGACACAGGAGTGAGCCCCCTAGATCATCCGGTCACCAGCTGACCAGAAAGGTAAGAGCCCAACTGAGCAGAAATAGGTGAAAGAACTATCCAGCCACTCAGAAACCAAAGCTAGGCGAAGGACTGTAAAAAGCCACTAAGTTTTGTGGTGATTGGTTACACCGTGAAAATGGCTACAGTAGCACGTATCTCAGTTGTCATTTTACATAACTTTGATTAGCTTCCATCCCTCCCACCTGACTGTGAGCTCTCTAAAAGCATAGACTATTCTGGCCGGGTACAGTGGCTCATGCCTGTAATCCCAGCACTTTGGGAGGCTGAGGTGGGCGAATCACAAGGTCAAGAGTTTGAGACCTGCCTGGCCAACACGATGAAACCCCGTGTCTACTAAAAATACCATATATATATATATATATATGGTAGGGTGTAGTGGTTCATGCCTGTAATCCCAGCTACTTGGGAGGCTGATGCAGAAGAATTGCTTGAACCTGGGAGGCAGAGATTGCAGGGAGCCAAGATCACACCACTGCACTCCAGCCTGGGCAACAGAGCAAGACTCCATCTCAGGAATAAAAGAAAAAAAGCATAGACTATTCTGACCATAAGTTACTGTGCCAACCTCAAAGCCCAGTATGATACCTGGAACACACCAGGCATCCAATCTATAACATGCTGAATGAATGCAAGAAGGAAAGAGAGGAGCGTATACATTGTAACATGAGAGAGTGGCACAAGAGAATGAGGGGGAGTTCAAAACAAAGGACTGAAGACATCTATTTGTCCAAAATAAAATCTTTTATTGAGCAGGGCAAGGCAGTGAGGAATACCGGAACAAAATTGCATTTCCTCTGCCTCAAAGGGCTCAAAGTCTAGAGTACAGGAGGCAGTATAAAATCAACAACGTGTATTGTTTGAGCATTTAGACTCTTCACTCCTTCAGACAGCATTAGGGCCCTGTCCCAAAGCGTTAGGACTAGGCCCTAATGCTGCCTAAAGGAGTAAAGTGCGGGAGGATCCCAGAGAGGTTCCTTAAAGCAGATAAAGTCTGAATTGAGGCCAGGCGCAGTGGCTCATGCCTGTTAATCCCAGCACTTGGGAGGCTGAGGGCGGTGGATCACTTGAGGCCAAGAGTTCAAGATCAGCCTAGCCAACATGGTGAAACCCCGTCTCTACTAAAAATACAAAATATTACCCCAGCATAGTAATGCACGCCTGTAAACCCAGCTACTCGGGAGGTTGAGGCAGGGGAATTGCTCGAACCAAGAGGCGGAGGTTGCAGTGAGCCGAGATAGCGCCATTGCACTCCAGCCTGGGCAAAAGAGCGAGACTTCATCTCGGTGTTTACCGGGAAAAGCAACACACACCAAGGCTAGGAGGGTCAAAGGGACAGAGACGTTCAAGGGAAAAAGGAGAGCCTCCTGTTTGTTTGGGGTTTTATTATTTTTTAATTTTTGTTCCCCCAGGCCAACCCCGAGAGCCAGGACTGTTCGTTGTTTATCTCAGCACCGGTTCAGTGTTGCCTCCTCATCCAATGCTCAGGCCCTTCAGGCCCGGGACCCCTGCTCCTTATGTTTCTATTATTCCCAGTGTCTAACAATCTCTTCCACCAAGAAGGAACTCGATACATATTTGCTGAATAAACGAAAAGTTAAAGATGAGGCAGTAGCACCGCTCCTTCCAAGGGCAGCTCCCAAGAGCCCAGGTTTCCAGATTCAACAGCGAAGCGGACGCGTCCGGTACGAGACTACAAGTCTCACAGGCGGAGATGAGCCCCCTGAGGCTCTGGTTTCACGTCTCCCTCCTGGATCCCGGCGGACCGGCATCTCTTCTCCCCTGCTCGGAATAGCCGAGCAGCCATGGAGGCTGGGTGTCTGTTCCGCGCGGCTGTTAGGCAGGATGGAGGCGCGCTGCAGCCCCGCGGTGCTTCCCACAGGCTTCGCCCGCAGGGACGCACGGGGCGACAGCGCAAGTGGCTCTGCAGAGGTGGGCGCGCCCGTCGGCCCTCTGGGTCCCTCGCTGCTTTGCGCTTCTCGAGCCCAGCCGCGCTCAGGCAGCCTCGGGCTTTGACCTCTGGGGCGCTCGCCCCGTTCCCATAGAAACGCCCGAGCTGGCGCGGCGGCGCGAGGGGCGGGCTCTCTGGCTCCGGCGACTGCTTGCGCCGCAGCGCGCGCCCGGGCGCCTTGGAGCCCCAGTGGCTGAGCCCTCCTGGTTGGGCCCCCGCAAAGTCCCCGACCGTGCGCGAGGCAGCATGATGAGGCGCACCCTGGAAAACCGGTAACAGCCCGGGCCCAGTTTCCCGGGGCCTACACGGGAGGGCCGGGGTAGGGGAAGTGGAGCCTCTGTTCGTGGGGCCTCTGCGCCGAATTCCGACCCTGGGCGGGAGACTGCAAGATCCCCGCTGTGGTCTGGGGCCTAATTCCCTGGGCTGCAGCGAGCGCTGGCGGCCAAGGGGAGCACCGGGCCCCGCAAGCTGCCAGCCACCCACGCCTCTGGGTCTCTGGTGCCCGCACTGCCGCGGGCAGTGCAGAAGTTTGGGAGGCAGTCGGGCACCCAGGCCGCGCCTCGGGGAGCTGCCACCTGAGGCCAGGCCCACCCGGTCTGGGCCTCTTCCTGTGCCTACACTGCCGGGTTAGTGAGGCCAGGCCCCAAATGGGGTCCTGGAGGAGAGCAGTCGGCGCCGGGAGACAGTGGATCCGTTGGTGGGTTTGCACCTTCAAAGCTGCAGAATGCCCGGGTGTGTTTGCATGTTAGATTAATGTGAAGCCTTCTCATCGCTAACGAGAATGTTTCACCCTTTGTGTCACCTTTTTCTCTAGGAACGCTCAAACGAAACAACTGCAAACAGCTGTCTCAAACGTGGAGAAGCATTTTGGAGAACTGTGCCAAATCTTCGCTGCCTATGTGCGGAAAACTGCCAGGCTGCGAGACAAAGCAGACCTCCTGGTGAATGAAATCAACGCATATGCCGCTACAGAGACCCCACATTTAAAGCTGGGTCTGATGAACTTTGCTGACGAGTTTGCCAAACTTCAGGATTATCGACAAGCAGAGGTATGGAGTGAGGTCACAGTGTCATTGTTATGAATGAGCCGTGAAGTAGTGGATGAAGGAACCGTGGAAACTTTTACTTGTGATCTACTTAACTGCAGAGGTGGATCTAAACTTGATAAAGTATACATTTTCGTGTCTATAACGTTTTGTGAATCTGTTAAAGAGAAGCTTTCTGTGTTGTATTTTACCGTTTCCAAGCTAAACTTTAGGGCGTCTTGAAGTCTGTAATTTCCCCACTTTATTTGCTAACTTTTGGCCAAGGGGTGGCTGTTTACTGGGGGTAGTACGAATATACCCGGGGGAAGAAAAGAAGCATAAGTCTTGTCTTGTGTGGCATGTAAGTACATTTTAAAGAATGACTGGAGATAGAATGTTGGGAATGATAATGTGGATGGATAAATTATTAATAAATGGGCAAGAGATCATTGTTGCATCCATGCTCTGGAAAATTTACCAATGGTTTATTAACCACAAAAAATGCTATGCATTATATCATGGAAGCAAACCAATACTGAGACACTGAGGGGTCTTTTTGCTCTGGGCAGCAAGAGAGGTGTCCTTGCGATTGTTTTCTTTCTAGAAGCCCATTTTTTTTTTCCTTTAACACTTTTACTTATATTTATTTTCAATTTCAAGGCATAGGTTAACTTACTAGAAGTTGCCCAGTTAGAACGTTATTGCTTTTTTTGTACTTTTCTCATCAGAACCTAAAACAGAAATTTCAATTTTCAAAAAATAAAATCAGCATAATCTTTGAACTCATAATATCCATACAGATGTGAAGAGTAATCACATTTAGAGAAAAATGTTGAATTCTTGTCATGAGCTTCTGTAATAAGTAACTCTTAATTGTATATGATAACTGGGGACTTAATGTTTCAAAGATAATTTATGTTCACAGGTAATCCTAAAATCCTATTTTAGCCAGTAATTTCAATGCCCCTTTGTAAAGAAAAAAAAACCTTTATGCTATTTATCAAATAGCAAAGTGAGTTGATTTGCATTTGTTCTCCTTTTATTTCCCTTGCTTACCAAATGGTGGAAGTGCTAATGAACAATGACAAAAAGGTAGGCAACAAAAAGGAGAACAGAAAAAAGAAAAAAAGGCTTAAATAATCCTTAAACTGAATAATCTGTATGGATTATAAGAAATGGTATAAACCAGGCCAGGCCCAGTGGCTCACGCCTGTAATCCCAGCACTTTGGGAGGCTGAGGCAGGTGGATCACCTGAGGTCGCAAGTTCAAGACCAGCCTGACCAACATGGAGAAACCCCAAAAATTAGCCGGGCGTGGTGGCTCATGCCTATAATCTCAGCTACTCAGGAGGCTGAGGCAGGAGAATCGCTTGAACCTGGGAGGCGAAGCTTGCAGTGAGCTGAGATTGCACCATTGTACTCCAGCCTGGGCAACAAGAGTGAAACTCCGTCTCAAGAAAAAAAAAAATAGGAAAAGAAATGGTGTAAACCAAACTGTCCTGAATATCCATGATTTTAGGATTCCTAGTATTTGAATACTTGATGGGAACTTGATTTGTATTTTCTTAATATATTTTAAAATGAGGCATCTATAATACATTTTGTTTATGAAACTAAAGAAAAATCAGTATGAAATAAAGTGCATTTGTCAATTATATAAATATCATTAAAAAGCCCTTTTTCTGCTATTAAAATAATACATGTTCATTTTAAGCAATTGAATACATGTCACCTATCTTGAGAGAAAAAGTTTTAATATCCAAGAGAGTTATTTTTCTTACGCTATATTTAAATACTTGCCTTAAAAAAAAACTGTCTCTTCAGTGCTTTCCACTAGTGCTGTTTGTAATAGAATTGCTCAAAATGTGATTTAAAAACCTATAACGGGCCGGGCGCGGTGGCTCAAGCCTGTAATCCCAGCACTTTGGGAGGCCGAGGCGGGTGGATCATGAGGTCAGGAGATCGAGACCATCCTGGTCAACATGGTGAAACCCCGTCTCTACTAAAAATACTGAAAATTAGCTGGGCATGGTGGCGTGTGCCTGTAATCCCAGCTACTCAGGAGGCTGAGGCAGGAGAATTGCCTGAACCCAGGAGGCGGAGGTTGCGGTGAGCCGAGATCGCGCCATTGCACTCCAGCCTGGGCAACAAGAGCGAAACTCCGTCTCAAAAAAAAAAAAAAAAAAAAAAAAACCTATAACGTTTAAGAAAAAGTAATTCTAAATGAAACAGAGATGAGACATGCAGTTTGCCAACTCAGCAACTCAGACCATTTATCTTGTTCTGTAGGCTTTGATAATTCACAAATGGCGTCTCAGAAAAAAAACAAAAATGCAGCAAATACAGTGATCCCTAAGCTTTTTTGCTTTTGACAGCTATGTTGCTTTAAATGTTTACAGGATGCTCTATCTTTCAGTTTTGATTTTTCTGAAAAGTTGAGCCATTATAGTTCAGAGATGATATACTTAAAATATCCAGTACTGTGCTGAACACACTGAAAATGTTAGCTGTATTAAAATTAGAGCTGTCTCAGCACTTAAACTACCACTTGAAGGTAAATAAGTAATCCTAAGGTGATGTGGCAAGGATAAGCTCCTGGGAAACCTGAGACATTTTCTTGTCATTTTGTTCACCAGCTGCTTTTCTACTTTTACTCTTACTGTGCAGCTTAGCAGTTTCTAATGTGTTTGAGTTTAGATTCTGAGTCTTACCAATTTCTAGTGATTATCCTTTTATTTATAGGTTAAAAGGTTAAACATTCTAATTTAAAATTTTCCTAATTTTCAATAGGTTGAAAGACTTGAAGCCAAAGTAGTTGAACCCTTGAAAGCTTATGGGACCATTGTGAAAATGAAACGGGTAAGTAAATCCATTTTCTCACTTATGAGTTACTCTGGCAGAGAGTATGAGGATTCCAATTGTTCTTTTACTAAGAAATACAAAGTAGTATATAATCATTCTTTTTACATACTCTGAAAGATCACTTAGATCTTTATGAACAATCAAATATTTTTAGTGAGCTTATTAAGTATACTGTAGCAACATAAGACTTTATTATGGGAACTTTAAAATATTTAATATTTATAATGAAAAATATATGGACAGAAATTAGTTTACTGTATGAATATAAGTTTTTGTTTAAAGCAGATGATAGCATTTAGACTTTTAAAATGTGTGACAGAGTTCTATTAAAACTAACTTTATTGAAGTATAATTTACATCAGCAGTTGCCAGCCTTTTTGGTACCAGGGACCGGTTTTATGTAAGACAATTTTTCTTTAATTCACAATAGGGTTTGCATTCCTATAAGAATCAAATGCTGCCTGGGATCTAACGAGGCAGAGCTCAGGTCTTAATGCTAACTCGCCCACCACTCACCTGCTGTGCTGGTCCAGTTCCTAATAGGCCAGGGGGTTAAGTGCCTTTGATTTACATGCAATAAAATTTTTCCATTTTCAGGGATCATTGAGTTTTGACAAATTTTTAGATGCATGTGACCACTACCACAATCAAAATTACACACTTACAGACATATGTGTATTATGGGTATAGTTTCACGCTGAAATTGTGTCATTATTTTGAGAGAATATTAAACACGTTCTCACATACATAGACACACACTAATTATATAATACTGGTAATTCCTGTAGTAATGGTACCTGGATCACACAAGAAATATTCTTCCGTTCTTAAAACAGAGTGTGAATTTCCTTAAGTCAGACATTTTTACTAACTAAAAAAAAAAATGCCAATTTGCAGGATGACCTCAAAGCAACATTCACAGCAAGGAGTCGAGAAGCTAAGCAATTAACTCAGTTACAAAGAACACGCCAGCGAAACCCATCTGATCGACATATTATCGTATCCTTTGAATTTAGGTCTTTAAAAAAAATTTTAAGGGATGGAGTACAAAAGCAAATGTATATAGAAATTATGCATTTTTGCTTTTAAATGAGTGGAGAATTTGAATATAAAAGTTGAAAAGAAACGCATTGAGGAATTCTCACTATAGAAATAGGCTTATTTTAAAGAGTTTACACGACCTAATTCAAATCCCCTTATATTGTTTTCCACAATAGACTTTGCAAACAAACAAACAAAATACCTACTCAAAAATGCAGATGTTTTTATAAAAAGTAAATTCAAATTTCTTAATTTTATTTTCACATGATGACTCAATATTAATACTAACTTAAAGATCTATCATTAATCCTAATACATCAGTGCCCTCTATGCCCTGCTTCGAAAAAAGGAAAGAAAAATTTCCCCTTTAATTTCCTTCACCTTTTGGAAATGAAACAACTATGTGAAATCATGACTTCCAGCCAGTTAATCTCAGGAGACTTAGGAGTATAATTAAGATCCAAGTTGAACACAAAGGAACCTAGATAGGACTGTCTACTGTAACAAGGGTCTTCTGTTAAACATGATTATTTATTTATTTATTTATTTTTATCTAGTCAATCTTTACTTTTTTTAAAATTATAGTTTAAGTTCTGGGGTACATGTGCAGAACATGCAGGTTTTAAGTACACACATGCCATGGTGGTTTGCTGCATCCATCACCCCGTCATCTACCTTAGGTATTTCTCCTAATGCTATCCCTCCCTCCTCTATCCCCCTGCCTGCTACTATCCTTCCCCTGTCCCCCAATCCCACGACAGGCCCTGGTGTGTGATGTTCCCCTCCCTGTGTCCATGTGTTCTCATTGTTCAACACCCACTTATGAGTGAGAACATGCGGAAACATGACTATTTCTTAAACTATAATGTGCTTTTTTGGTGACTAAACAACAGCATACAAAATAGTGCCTAATTGCCAGCAACTGAGGTAGGTAGGACTGTGTAGAAAGCACTAACATCCCTACTGCCTCTTTTTCCATTCCTTCTGTGTGGTTCCTTCCTACTTCCTTAAGGTTGTTACTGCCCAGCTCAGCCAGAAACCACATGAGGAGTGGCTCTTTGGAGAGCGTTTGAGCTTCCAGAATACCTCCATTCCTGAGGGGAGTCCCTTGAGCATTGATTTGAGGCTACACTAATTGCTTGGTCCTTCTTCCTTTGGACCAGAGGTACAGAAGCCCAACTTTATGCTAAACAAAAATGGGCAGCCATAGGGCTGGGGGTGCCCACTGGAGACTGGGACAGAAACATCTAGATAGTCATAGTGGCATAAGATCTGCAAATGGAGATGATAGAGTCTGTTTTAAGCAAGTCAGACAAAACCAGAGAATGCTGGAAAATTTATGACTGGTAACCACAGGTCAAGGCAGAGGCTGTGGCCGGTGGGAGGGTGGGTTCACCAGTGTTTTCAGAATCAAGCTAGGGATCCAAATTTTTTGTTTTGTTTTGTTCTTTGTGGCCTGAAGTTGGGGAGGTGGTGATATATGAAGACATCTGGAATCCTGAGCAGTTGGCAAGACTGAATCAGGAGTACTGGTATCTACACTCAACACAGAATCTATTCCTAAGACAAACATTTTTCTGACTTGGATGCTGTGCTGTAAACACTGCTGTGGAAGTGAGACAATCTTAGAGCACAGATGAAGCAGATCTGTGGGGTCACATCGTGGGGAAATAAATACAACCTAAGAGATTATTGACACAGGTGAATCAATGTGCTCCCCCGGTAAGATCTGCAGCTTGTGTATTTTGACAACCTGAGACCAGAACATGAAGGACAATCTACATACAAATGTAGTCAGTATAAACATACAAATATTCAATCATAGTATCATAGAATTTTTACCAGGATAGACTCTTAAAATTCATCTATGTTGAAGTATGTTGAAGTTCAATATGTAAAATAAAATAGTCCCTCTGAGAGAAGAGGATAGGGAAAAGAATCCCAGGGCTCTGCCTGCTCACCCCCCAAGTTAGGCCCCAGTAGCTTCTGAACAAGCTTCCTGTAATGCATTGTGAGCCCAATCTGGCTTACCCTTTTAAAAATCATTTCAAACTCTTAACTAATTCCATTTTATATACCAATACCTTTATTCATAGAGTTGTATCTTAGTATTTTATTTAATTTTGTTTTTGTCTTTTTTTTTTTTTTTTTATGAGATGGAATCTTGCTCTTTCGTCCAGGCTGGCGTACAGTGGTGCTTTCTTGGCTTACTGCAACCTCCACCTCCTGGGTTCAAGCGTTTGCCTATCTCCCCAGCTCTCCCAAGTAACTGGGATTATAGGCACATGCCACCATGCCCAGATAATTTTTTATATTTTTAGCAAAGATTGGGTTTCACCATGTTCCCCAGACTGGTCTCAAACTCCTGAGCTCAGGCAATTTACCCGCCACGGCCTCCCAAAGTGCTAGGTTTACCAGCATGAGCCACCGCGCCTGGCCTGTATCTTAGTATTTTAATCCAAAGCATTTCCTACTGAAGCTGATGCATCATAGAATTTTGAAGAATTTTCAGTAAAAGATATACTAGAAATCTATATTCTCTTTGCTAAAAATGGATGTGTTACTTTGGGTGAGTTGCTATACTCAAGTAAAAGGATTTGAGACTTTCAGTAATAGAGTTGCTGGAGGCTATAGAAGGTGAAACTACACATATCCTAGCTGTGGCTTCTGTTTCCCCATGCTTTCCTGATTTAGCCAACTCTCCTTACCCTTCTAAACTGTCAAATGAAAATATCAATAAACAAGGAGGGGAAAGACATGAGTCAAAAGGAGGTAGTCACAAGTAAAGAGCTGCATCAGTCATGTGTATTAGTGTTAGGAATTAGTCTGGTTGAATATTCTCATTAGCAAAAGGTTAATATGTATCACATAACTGTTAGAGATTTTTTCATAGTAGTAAGTCTTCAAAGGAGCTCTATTTTACCTTTGAATTTCCTGTAATGAAGTTGTAGTTTAAAGAATCCTCAAACACAGCAATATAGAGAATCGTATGAGTATATAAATTTAATTTATTGAAGAAATTGTTATATTCTTTGAAATATATTTTTTCCTTTATGAAAAATTTCAGTCACAGGTGGGTAATAAAGTGGTTGTGTCAAAAAATGGATCCTTAAACCCTTTTACTTGTTTCAATTTATACATTTTCTTGAAAAAGAAAGCAAAAGCTAAGTGTCACGCTATTACATATCATAGAACTTTGACAACAAATGCATACTTTTCCTATGATTAATTGTTAAATGATGATATATGTGACTTTTGAGTAAATATAATATTAGCACAGGAAACAAAACTTTATTTGGAAGAATTTAATCAGAAAATTGGGCTGTGTCTTCTCAAATTTCTGTGTTACCATATAATAAAAAATCTTAAATGTTTTTTGGGCAACTTTTGTTAGCAGATGAGATGCTTAAAAAGAGACACACAATTAGATAAGAAATATTCTGCGCTTAACGGTACTATAGCCACTAGCTATGTATGACTATTGAGCTCTTGAACTAAAATTAGAGTAACTTTGGGAATAGTTTTTAATTTTGTATTTAGTTTTAATTAGTTTTAATGAAAATGGCCACATATGGGCTAGTGGTCACCATATTGATTGGACAACACAGATCCAGATAATACGAGTACATGTCCAAGTGTATTAGACTTGCTATCTAATTCATTAGTTACTATTGTATTTATTTTTTGTAATAAGCATAGAATAGAAGCAGTGTAACATGGTTGTCTTATAACAAGAATCTACAAGTACAAATCCCATGCTGAAATATTTGTAGTATATATTGTATTCCACCTGATGAGGGTATTATAGAATTAAGAATATTTAATGCATTTGGAGAATGAGTAGAAGTAAGCAAGGTAGAAAGGGTCTTTGGTTATATACCTGCTATCCCAAAATACCTCAATGTTGTAATGATTTTAAAAATCAGACTCTCAGTGGTGGTAATTGTCATAGCTGTAGGTCTCTCTACTGTGTGCCACTCTCCTTAGTTCTTTCCAAAGATGATTTCATTTAATCCATTCAGTAGTCCTATCAGATAAGCATAAAGAGTAAGAGATAATCAGCTGGGTACAGCGGCTAACGCCTGTAATCCCTGCACTTTGCGAAGTCAAATCACCTGAGATCAGGGGTTCAAGACTAGCCTGGCCAACATGATGAAACCCCATCTCTACTAAAAAAATTAGCTGGGCATGGTGGCACGTGCCTGTAATCTCAGCTACTCAGGAAGCTGAGGCAGGAGAATCACTTGAACCCAGGAGACGGAGGTTGCAGTGAGCTGAGATAGCACCAGTGAACACTAACCAGACCAACAAGAGCAAAACTCCATCTCAAAAAAAGAGATAATCTCTAATTGAGAAAACTGAAAATAATGTTTACTAAGACGGGGAGAGAGACAAAACGAATTTTTGATAAATGGCACAAGTAGTGAAGTAGACAGAAGCAGTAGAAAATATGGGAAATGATTTTACAGTAAGTTACCCAATGGTGTCTGGGAAAAAAATTGATTTTGCAGACAGCAAGGGAAGGATTTGGGGGTAGTTTTTGTTCTTGGGATTTTTTTCTCTAGATCATGAATCAGGTCACTAAATAGACATAAATTTCTTTATTCTGCATGTGCTTACATAGATCATTTTATTTATATATGGTAAAATATAATATTAATAATTTACACTATTATGCCAAAAAGCCAGTATTGCAGTGGTAGAATTTACCAGTGGACTCAACTGAATGGTTTTCATTTGATTTTGTTTATATCTTTGGTTGGGGAATACTTTTGTAGGCAGAAACGGAATTACAGAGAGCTGCAATGGATGCTTCCCGAACAAGTCGTCATCTGGAGGAGACTATTGACAACTTTGAAAGGCAGAAAATGAAGGATATAAAGGTAATAAAGTAACTGTTAGGGTTCAAAACATGTTTCCACCCTTATTTTTTACTTTAAACTTATGAAAAATTTAAATTACTCTAAATTTTTTAGCCCATAAATAGCTCTTATAAAGAAAGTATGATGAAGGCCGGGCGCGGTGGCTCAAGCCTGTAATCCCAGCACTTTGGGAGGCCGAGGCGGGTGGATCACGAGGTCAAGAGATCGAGACCATCCTGGTCAACATGGTGAAACCCCGTCTCTACTAAAAATACAAAAAATTAGCTGGGCATGGTGGCGCGTGCCTGTAATCCCAGCTACTCAGGAGGCTGAGGCAGGAGAATTGCCTGAACCCAGGAGGCGGAGGTTGCGGTGAGCCGAGATTGCACTATTGCACTCCAGCCTGGGTAACAAGAGTGAAACTCCGTCCCAAAAAAAAAAGAAAGTATGATGAATAAAGGGCTGGACACAGTGGCTCATGCCTGTAATCCTAGCACTTTGGGAGGCCCAAGGCAGGTGGATCACTTGAGGCCAAGAGTTTGGGACCATCCTGGACAACATGGCAAAATCCCATCTCTACAAAAAAATACAAAAAATTTAGCTAGGTGTGGTGGCACATACTTACAGACCCAGCTTCCTGAGGCAGGAGGATCATCTGAGCCTGGGGAAGTTGGGTCAGCAGTGAGCCATGACTGCACCACTGCACTCATGTGCTCCAGCCTGGGCAACAGAGCCAGTCCCTGCCCACCCCACCCCCTAAAAAAAAAACACAGAAAAAGCAAAAAATATTATAAATAAAATATATCAGGGTTTTTTAATGGAAACAGTGGTATATAAAAAGACCAACATTCACAACCAGAAGCCAGATATTCAGCTTTTAATTACAAATACTATTTAATTAAGGGGAACTAACATTTATTATGTTTTTATGTACCAGGCAGTACTCCAGGCACTTTACGTAAATTATTTCAGTCTTCACAGCAACTCCATGAGGAAGAGATATTATTAAGAAATTAAGCCGGGCGAGGTGGCTCACGCCTGTAATCCCAGCACCTTGGGAGGCCGAGGTGGGCGGATCACATGAGGTCAGGAGTTTGAGACCAGCCTGACCAATATGGTGAAACCCCATCTTAAAAAAAAAAAAAAAAGAAATTAAGCAGCCGGGTGCAATGGCTCACACCTGTAATCCCAGCACTTTGGGAGGATAAGGCAGGCAGATCACTTGAGGTCAGAAGTTTGAGACCAGCCTTGCCAACATGGTGAAACCCCATCTGGCTAAGTATAAAAATTAGCCAGGTGTGATGGTGCACGCATGTAATCCCAGCTACCCAGGAGGCTGAGGCAGGAGAATAGCTTAAACCTAGGAAGTGGAGGTTGCAGTGAGCCAAATCATGCTACTGCCCTCCAGCCTGGGCAACAGAGCAAGACTGACTCAAAAAAAAAAAAAAAAAAAAGTAAGCAGAGACATAAAGTATTTTACCCAAAGTACAATAGCCAGAAATATGAGCTATAAAAAAATATTTTAATCTGATTTCTGTTACAATACAGTCATTAATTTTTATAGCTTAATACTTTATAATAAGTACATATTATCAAATAAGTAAACAGGATAATAATAGCCAACCACATAAATTTGCATCTACTATGATATGGTATCTTCGTCAACAAACTCACAAGAATTGCCTATTCTAACACATATGTGGATTTGAAACTTTCTTGGGGATCATGAAGTTCGGCAGGTCTTTTTGCTAGCCATCTTGAAAAGACTTGAAGGACCGCTTATGACCATCTTACAGACTTTAAAACTTATCTAAGGCTCTTTTTGGCCCACTGAAGATTTTCCTGTAATGAGCATTACATATGTTTGCTTTTATTTCACTACTATTGACAAATAAATCTTCCTTCATAAGCTATATTCTTTCAATAAAATAAGCATTATCTGTCACTTAATTATGTCATTTCTCTCTGAAATCCATGAAACAGTATTCATTTACATCTTTTATTTTAATTTCCTGTCATAGTTTCAAAGATTTCTGAGCTTCTCAATTCAGTCACAGGCCCTGTACTCTTCTGTGTAATAGATTGCTACTCACAGAAGAGCATCTCGGGGGGCTGTCCCGAGACAAATTCCTTTACTGAGCTAGGAAAGTATGGTCAGGGTATAAAGATTTACAATTGCTGACATCCCCTCTTAAACTCAGGGAGGAAGGAGAATTATTAAGATAATTAATTAGCTTTAACCCGAAAAATGGATGCCTGATTCCACTATTGGACAAGGGCTTTTCTTTCATGATGGGAAACTGATTCCTTACTCCATCACTGTTCCTCAAGACCTGCACATTGTTCATTTACACAAAAATTTGTCTCTGCTCTGATCTTTGGGCTCACTTCTGTGTTCTGCCTGCATGCTGGTTTTAATTCCCTGAGCATTACAAAGTACCAAACCCAGGCAGAGAATGTGACTGCAGCATTCCCAGCTACAATTCCTGCAGCCTGGGATTTCCTGAAGCAACAGGAGATGGAGTGAGGTGCTGTACAGTGGAGGGTACACAGAGAATAAAAGAGCATCTAAGCTTTTCTCTATCATGCCCCCAAAAGAGGGAAGTCTCTTGATTTCAGAAAATCTCTTGGTCACAGAAGGAAAATTTTTTTTAAAAGACAGGAAGAAACCTACACTTTTAAAACACTGGGGTATAATTCATTGTGCAACTCTGGTTTTAAGTGAGTTCACATGTATATAACCATCACCACTCAATGTTAGAACACTGTCATCACCTCAACCTTGTACAGTTTAGCTTTATCCCCCTGCCTGCCTCCTAGCCCTAAGCAACCACCACTAATCTTTGTATCTATGGATTGAGCTATTCTGCACATTTCACAGAATGGAATCATCAAATATCTTGCCTTCTGTGACTGGCTTCACCTTGCCTGCTTTCAAGGCTTATCCATATCAGTACTTCATTCCATTTTCTGACCAAATAATATTCCATTGTATGGATATACAACATTTTGTTTACTCATTTCATGGACATTTTGGTGCTTTTCACCTTTTGGCTATTGTGAATACTAATATAAACATTTATGTACAAGCTTTTATGTAGGCATATATTTTTATTTCATTTGAATATATACCCAGGAGTGGAATTGCTGGATCATCGGTAACTTTATGCTTAAGCATTTGAAGAAGTGCCAGACTGTTTTCTAAAGTGAATGCACCATTGTGTTTGCCCGCCAGCAGGATATGAGGGTTACAACTGCTCTGCATTTTCAGTACTTGCTGTTCATCAGACTTCTTGATTATAGTCATCCCCATGGGTTTGAAGTAGTAGTTTCATTGTAGTAGTAGTCTCAACTTGCATTCCCTGATGATGCTTTTTGCTTTTGTTCTTTTTTTTTTTTTTTTTTTTTTTTTTTTTTAGATGGAATTTTGCTCTTGTTGCCCAGGCTGGAGTGCAATGGCACAATCTGAGCTCATGGCAACCTCCGCCTCCTGGGTTCAAGCGATTCTCCTGTCTCAGCCCCCCAAGTAGCTGGGATTACAGGCATGCACCACCATGCCTAGTTAATTTTGTATTTTTAGTAGAGATGAGGTTTCTGCATGTTGGTCAGGCTGGTTTTGAAGTTCGGACCTCAGGTAATCCCCCCACCTCGGCCTCCCAAAGTGCTGGAATTATAGACATGAACCACTGTGCCCAGCCAGCTTTTTTTCTTTTTTTAAAATAGAGACGAGGTCTCATTATGTTGCCCAGGCTGGTTTTGAATTCCTGGTCTCAAGTAATCCTCCCACTTCAGCCTCCCAAAGTGCTGGGATTACAGGCGTGAGTCACTGTTCCTGGCCTCATGATGCTTTTTGGCCATTTGTGCATATCTGCCTTGAACAAATGGCTGTTCAGATCCTTTACCCTTTTTTAATTGACTATTCTTATTTCTGAGTTGTGAGAGATTTTTATATATTCAGATATAAGTCCCATTATCAGATAACCTGCAATTTTTCTCATTCTGTAGGTTGTCTTGTCACTTTCTTGATAGTGTCTTTGAAGCACAAGTTTTTACTTTTGATGAAATCCAATTTATCTGTCTTTTCTTTTGTTACTTGTCTTTTGATGTTAGAGCTAAGAATCCATTGCCAAATCCAAGGTCATGAAGATTTATTCCTATATTCCTATATTCTCTAACAGTTTTGTAATTTCAGCTCTTATATGTCTTTGATCCATTTGAATTAATTTTTATATATGGTTAAATTTTGTAAAGGTTAAATTTCAGCACCTTTTGTTGAAGAAACTGTTCTTTCCTCAATTGAATGGTCTTGGCATCTTTGTTGAAAATCAGTTGACATGGTTTTATTTCTGAGCTCTCATTCCTTTTCATTGATCTATGTGTGTCTATTCTTATGGTAATACCACACTGTCTTAACATTGCTTTATGGTAAGTTTTAAAATCAAGTAATGTGAGTCTTCCTACTTTCTTTTTTAAGATTGATATGGCTATTCTGGATCTATTGCAATCCTATATGAATCTTAGAATCAGTTTGTCAGTTTCTATAAAGAAATCAGCTCCAGTTCTGATAAGGATTGCATCAAATATGTAGATCAATTTGGGGAGTATTGATATCTTAACACTAATTCTTCCAATCCATGAACATGGGATGTTTGTCCATTTACTTTAATATTTTTTTTTTTTTTTTTTTTTGAGATGGAGTTTCGCTCTTGTTACCCAGGCTGGAGTGCAATGGCGCAATCTCGGCTCACCGCAACCTCCGCCTCCTGGGTTCAGGCAATTCTCCTGCCCAGCCTCCCGAGTAGCTGGGATTACAGGCACGCCCCACCATGCCCAGCTAATTTTTTGTAGTTTCAGTAGAGACGGGGTTTCACCATGTTGACCAGGATGGTCTTTTAATATTCTTTAATTTCTTTAAACACTATTTGTAGTTTTCAGAATATAAATTGTGCATATCTTTTGTTAAACATTTTTCTAAGTATTGTATACTTCCTGTTGCTATCGTAAATGGATTTGTTTTCCTTATTTCATTTTCAGATTGCTTGTCACAAATGTATAGAAATACAATTGATTTTTGTATACTGCTTATGTCTTACAACATTGCCAAACTTATTAGTTCTAATAGTTTTTTTAGTGGATTCCTTAGAATTTTTCACATAGAAATTATGTCATCTGCAACAACCTACAATTTAAATGCAAACTCCCATAACCCTAGCAAATTCCCACAAGTATGAGCACCAGATATTAATACCAGAGTCTGTTAGGGTTCTGAATGTCCATTCTGTACATCATTCCTCATCACTGTCAAATTGCCTGCTTTCTAAGTAAGGCCACATTTGGGGTCTTTTATAATAAAGAGGGATGTAGAAATCTCCTAACGGTGGCCTCAAAGATCAGTCAAAAGGTTTACATTACAGCTCATTTACTTTTTTCTTTATAGAGATTGTGTCTCCCTGTGTTGCCCGGGCTGGTCTCAAACAGTCCCCTACTTCCACCTCCCCACGTGCTGGGATACAAGTGTGACCTACTGTGCCTCGCTGGACCCCTTATTTCTAATATAAACAGTATTTAATACTGCCATATTCATCTTAGCATGTCTCATAAACATTTCTGTGAGAGAAATACTTGGAAAAGACAAATTCTTGATACCACTTTTTTTTTTTTTTTTTTTTTTTTTTTGAGAGTCTCCCTCTGTCACCCAGGCTGGAGTGCAATGGCGCAGTCTTGGCTCACTGCCACCTCCGCCTCTGGGGTTCAAGCAATTCTCCTGCCTCAGTCTCCTGAGTACCTGGGATTACAGGCACCCGCCACCATGCCTGGCCGGTTTTTGTATTTTTAGTAGAGATGGGGTTTCACCATCTTGGCCAGGCTGGTCTCAAACTCCTAACCTCATGATCTGCCTGCCTCAGCCTCCCAAGGTGCTAAGATTACAGGCATAAGCCACCTCACCCGGCTGATACCACTCTTATTTTGGGGATAAACACAGGCTACTGGTTCTGTTAGGGCAGTTTGTGGCTCCTTCTTTAACCAGTCTGGAAGCAGAAATGATTAGCAGTAGTGAGCACTGTTCATAACTGCAATATGTGTTCGAGGCGAGTTTAATTGCTAAGTCCATTTGAATTTTGGTATTGGCATTAATCAGCAAGGTAATACATTTTTGACAGACTTTTCGTAGGAACTTTGAAGAGTGTCTCTCTGAAATAGGCTGGTACAGAACTTAGTGTGCAAAATGAAAGAAGAATCACAATCCCATTTGTTTTCCATGTATTAGGAAAAGTCATCAGTGTATGATGAATGTCAAGGGAATTTCACAATTACAAAAAAGGTGTTTAACCAGGAATTACTCCTGTAATGAAGTAGCTGACATGAGCAAGAAACATCATAAATATTTATACCTTTATTTTTATTATAAATCATAAAACGTATCCATAAAACGAGACAACTTTAATCTCAACACCCAAAAATATTAACCATTTTTTATTTTATCCTTCCAAACTTTTCTTTTGCATATATACAGAGATATGGTAATAAGAATAACAAACATTTCTTAAACATTGACTGTGTGCCAGGTACCACCACCATATATATAGCATCGCTTCTTAAAACTTTCTATATCATGGATATATTTACGCTAAGAAACATGTCTATATCATTTTTTTTTGTATCCTTATGATATTTTGCCAGTATGGATATTTGAATTCATTTAACCAGTCCTTATTGGTGAATGTCTAGGTTATTTTTGCATTGTAGCTGTCACTGCATCATTACACATCCTTAATCAGCAGCCTTTGTGCTGGCCCAGTTATTCTCTTGAGATAAGTGGAGTTCCTCCTTCAGAGCATACACTTTTAATTTTTATATATTTTTAAAACTTCTCTCCACCAAAGTGAAACCAGTTTACATTCCTACTAAACCTTGCATAAGCACAGGTAAAATGAGTTTTTGGGGTTTTTTTGTTTTGTTTTTTGTTTTTTGAGAGAGTCTGGCTGTCACAGAGGCTGTAGTGCAGGCATGATCTCAGCTCACTGTAACATCCACTTCCCAGGTTCAAGTCATTCTCCTGTCTCAGCCTCCCAAGTAGGTGGGATTATAGACCTGCACCACCACACCCAGCTAATTTTTGTATTCTTAGTAGAAACAGGATTTCACCATGTTGGCCAGGGTAGTCTAGAACTCCTGACCTCAGGTGATCCACCTGCCTAAGCTTCCCAAAGTGCTGAGATTACAAGCATGAGCCACTGCATCCAGCCTGGGTTGTTTTTGTTTTTTCGTGTGTGTGTGTGTGATTTTTTTAATATGACAATGTTATGACTGACATATATCACTGAGTAGCAATCAAAAGGCTCTTAATGCTCCTTTAAGTGTTTTTCTAATCGTCTGGGAAAGAATGGGGCTGAAGGAAAGAATCACAGGCCACTGATAATTATTTATATGGCTATCTTCCAAAGTATATGACCACTACTGTCTGGGTTATCTTAGGAGAGCAGGAATGAAGGGAAATGTGTATTTGACTACTGCCTTCTAAAATAATCCATGCTTCAGTATTTTCTACCTTGTTCTTATTCAGCCCAGTTCTTTTTTTTTTTTAAAGATGGGGTTTCACCATGTTGGCCAGACTGGTCTCAAACTCTTGACCTCAGCTGATCCCCCTGCCACCCGCTCAGCCTCCCAAAGTGCTGGGATTACAGGTGTAAGCCACCATGCCCAGCCCAGCCCAGTTCTCTCTACATTAATGCTTATTTTGTTATCCCATGATTAACAAAATGATAAGATCATATTTATTAAAAACTTGCCTGGTTTCCATTTTTTCCCCACCTACTGATTACCTCACCCCCTGCTTAGATCAACATGCACATCTTCATACTCTTTGTTCATGATCTTCCTGGTCATAAGTTTCCATCTTGCTTATAGAGGTTACCTGCACAGTCTATCTGTGAAGGAAATTATTGATTCAGCAAGAACAGCACAGTTCAGTAGGCAACAGCAAAAAAAAACCTTAAATGAGCTATAACCTTATAACCTTAGAATCAGATCTGTGTCTAAAGAGTCTTATCTGTGAGCAACCCTGGGCAAGTCAGTATTTGTAAACTAGACGCTCCATTCAAATACATGGTATTATTATCAGTGGCAGGACTGTCATTACTACCAAGTAATTCCTTTATGTTTAGAGAATACAAGTAGCTTACAGTGTGGACTGTAATTCCCGTTTAAAAAAATGTTCTACTGTTTGGCCTGCGGAAATTAAAAAAAAAAAAGTTCCACTGTTTAAACATCAGTTGGAGTTGCTAAAACACCAGCTTCATAGCTGAACTGCTCTAATACTTAATATGCATATGGTATTAAAAGTGTATAGAGGCCGGGCGCGGTGGCGCAAGCCCGTAATCCCAGCACTTTGGGAGGCTGAGGCAGGTGGATCACGAGGTCAAGAGATCGAGACCATCCTGGTCAACATGGTGAAACCCCGTCTCTACTAAAAATACAAAAAAAAAAAATCAGCTGGGCATGGTGGTGCATGCCTGTAATCCCAGCTACTTGGGAGGCTGAGGCAGGAGAATTGCCTGAACCCAGGAGGCGGAGGTTGCAGTGAGCCGAGATCGCGCCATTGCACTCCAGCCTGGGTAACAAGAGCGAAACTCCGTCTCAAAAAAAAAAAGTATATAGCAGGCCAGGCAAGGTGGCTCACACCAGTAATCCCAGCACTTTGGGAGGCCGAGGCAGGCAGATCATGAAGTCAGGAGTTTGAGACCATCCTGGCTAACACAGTGAAACCCTGTCTCTACTAAAGATACAAAAAATTAGCCAGGCATGGTGGCACACTCCTATAGTCCCAGCTACTTGGGAAGCTGAGGCAGAAGAATCACTTGAACCTGGGAGGCAGAGACTGCAGTAAGCCGAGATCATGCCACTGCATCCAGCCTGGGTGACAGAGCAAGACTCCATCTCAAAAAAAAAATTACATTTTAATCAGATCTTTTATTATGAATGTCAATTACTAGGTATAAAGAGAACTAAAAAAATAAGAGGGAAGTGAATGGTGATAAAGGAAATACTTTGTATAATTTGAAGGTCTGGCAACAAAAGATCTTCACAACTATTTTTATTTCAGTTACCTTTTGTACTTTATTTGCCCTATAGAAAAACAGATACTTCTGTATTTCATAAAATGCCAACATTATAGTGAGAAATAAAGTTTCTGTATTCAGAAAGAAATGTAAATGATTGTTTAAATTCAATTCTTTGGTTTTTTTAGACTATATTTTCCGAATTTATCACAATCGAAATGTTATTTCACGGCAAAGCTTTAGAGGTCTACACTGCTGCCTACCAGAATATACAAAACATTGATGAGGATGAAGATTTAGAGGTAGGACTATGTCTGTCTAAGCTCAGTTCTTCTTTAATGTGGAAATATTTTAAAAAGAACATTAGTTTGTATGTGATTAATATCTTAAATTTGAACACTACAGTGGTTATTATGTGTAATCCAAAGCAGATGAACTTTTATGATTTTCCATTTATTTTCAACTTTTGAAAATAACCAGGGCAAAAGTTCCAGAGTTAATTTATTAATAGCTAGCAAAACATAATTTGCATAAAGCCATTTAATAAAATATTGTGTATAATTTTGACTGGTGATATAGGCCCACTTAAGTGTGCTAAAAAATAATTAACATTTATGGACTTCAGTAACATTTGAGTGTTTATGTCATACACAATCCCCAAAGCTTTAGATGCATTTTCTCATTCAAACCTCAAAATCCTAGGTGGTAGTTGCTGCTCTAACTCTCATTTTACAACTACAGCAACAGGCTTAGAAGATTGAAATAACTTATTTGCGGCCACTTAGCTAGTAAATAGAATCAGGATTCTGACTGTGTAACTTAATCACTAAGCTATTAAATAAATGTAGGTTATGTAGGCTTGCTTTATGCTGATGGTTTTATTAAATGCAAATAATTCTGATTGGCCAACTAACATTAGAGCAAGTAAGTATCAAAGCCTGGTCCTCAATGAGCAATTCTGTAAATATCCAACCCTCTTACCTTCCATAAGGGGAAAAAAAAGGTATGAAAGTATTTATGCTGAAGGAAACTATTCAAGACATACTTTCCCCATTTCATCTCTAAGGTAGAAGTGAAAAAAGCCATGTAATCTCAACATACAACAAGAATTCTGTATTAATAAAATATAATAAAATAATAAAATAAAATAAAATTCTGTATTAATAAAATATGGGATATTAATAAAATATCCCAGAATTTTTTTTTTTTTTTTGTATCTTTTCTTCCCCCCTTGAGACGGAGTCTCGCTCTGTCACCCAACTGAGTACAATCTTGGCTCACTGCAACCTCCACTTCCCCGGTTCAAGCGATTCTCCTGCGTCAGCCTCCCACCACACCCAACTAATTTTTGTATGTTTAGTAGCGATGGGGTTTCACCATCTCTACCACCTGTTGGCCAGGCTGGTCTTGACAATTCTCATGATCCGCCCACCTCGGCCTTCCAACGGGCTGGGATCACAGGCATGAGCCACCGCGCCCAGCCTAATTTTTTTTGTATCTTAAGTGTCAGTAAAGAGATCCACTGAGCCTTCTCATCCCATTACTCCACGGGCTCCAGGAAACTTAAGTAAAACCAGAACGTAAGTTAAAGTAAATGAAGAAAAGTACATGTTACAGTATGTGTGTATGTTTCCAAACAAATCTGTTTTATATTAGTTATATATACATATTTATATTTCTCTATTTGTCAATAATGACTCTCCAAGTGTTATTTCAAAATACTACAGCTAAGATTTCTTAACTTTCACTCCTTTTCATTTCCAGCTTTTAAAAATTGATTATCAAGGCCAGGCGCAGTGGCTCATACCTGTAATCCTAGAACTTTGGGAGGCCAAGGCAGGTGGATGACCTGAGGTTAAGAGTTCAGACTAGCCTGGCCAACATGGTGAAACCCTGTCTTTACTAAAAATACAAAAATTAGCTGGGCTTGGTGGCGGGTGCCTGTAATCCCAGCTACTTGGGAGGCTGAGGCAGGAGAATCACTTGAACCTGGGAGGCAGAGGTTGCAGTGAGCTGAGATTACACCACTGCACTCCAGCCTGGGTGACACAATGAGACTCTATCTCAAAAAAAAAAAATTATCAAGCTTTCATCTGTCACTGATCTTTGCATTTTAACTATAATATTTTAATCCTTTCAACAACTTTGATAAAAATACTTATTCTCATTTCTATGGATGAGAAAACTGAAGCACAGTGACATTAAGAAACTTCCCAGAGATCTCATAGCTAGTAAGCAGCAGAGTTGGAAGTCCAACCCACAAGTTTGACTACAAAGTCCATATTACTTTAATTCTCTCTACATTGGACTTCCAGAAGTATGGTTCTTGATGAGTGACATTAACCATTTCCTGCAAGAAGTAACACTGCATTGACTGGCAGATTCAAAAGTGATCCCCCAGTGCTCCTTCAAGACTGTAGTCCACTTTATCAGTATTGTCATTCTTCTTTTTTTAGTACCTTTGACATGCTATTTGTTACCTGAAATTAAAGTTTCTTCAAGCCCTTAAGACCCCAAGATGTTCCTTCTCATCCCAGAGGTCTTAATTCTTCTAATACCTCTGACATGCCATTTGTTAACTGACATTAAAGTTCCTTCAAGTCCTTCAGTCCCCAAGATTTTCCTTCTCATCCCAGAAGTCCTAGACATTCACAATACTTCTTTTATCACTACTCTTAATCAGCCATCTAAGTTCTTTGTGGGAGAAGAGCTCTATGCAAAACTAAAGGTCTCAGGAGTATGTGGTAGATGTGTTTAATATCATCTCCCCTACTTTCTAGTGAAGTAATACTGAGCAAGTTCACTTCTTCACTCTTCAGCTTCCTCCCTTCTAAAATGTAGATACTGTAGTACTTACCTCATATAGTGTTTGTTCAACTGTTATTGTGCACCTCATACACTAAGCACCATTCTAAATGTGAAGTATTTAGCATTCTAAGTTAGAAATGGTCCAAGTTAGTCAAAGCAGTAACTTTAAATCTACCAGGCAATTCAGATCCCCCCGCTAAAAAACAACTGTGTAACGATTTTTTTTATATGACCAGTCCCATACAGAAAAAAAAAAAAAGTGTGTTGTGTGTGATGGGATTCTAAATAGTCTGGAGAATCAGAGTGATTTCTTAATTAGAATTTTGAGGGATGCATAGGATGCCTGGGCAAAAACTTTCAGGTGGAGGGCATACATAGATACACAAAGGTCCTGAGGCAGGACCTTTGTGTTTTAAAGAAAGAACAGTATATTTAAAACAACATAACTGAAGAATCATGGTGTGTAATGGGAAAAAAACAGAACAACACAATATAGGGCATAAGCACGTGTTCAAAGAACCATGGGCATAAACTATTTATTATGCCACATAGCAACTATGGAGAGAGCAGTCTGGGGAGAATTGTGGGACGGGGGGAAGTAACTAATTGATATAACTGATATACTATCAAACAGGTAGCTACCAAGAGGAGGAAGGATCCTGTAAATACAAGGTTTCTTGGAAAGAAGTAAAGAAAACATGCAGAAAAAGACCGAGAAATTACTTGCTTTTTCTTCCAGACAGTCCATGCTTTATAAGGACCACTGAGATTTATTCCAGCTGCAGCCAGTGTTTCGTAGTTAGACACCTCTAGTTATATCACAAACCATTTTACCTTACTTGTTCTTCACATAAGTATTGTGAGGTCACCTCTATATTAACTTCAGAGCACATTCAGATCTTGAGACTCACTCTTAGAAGAGATCTTGGACCATGTTGGAAAATGCATTATTGCCAAAAAACTGAAGTAAAAGGTTAATTTTAATAAATATTTAACTGGTATAGACTTGTATCCCAAGAGTTACATACTGCTTTTCATTTCCCACTTTAAATTCCTTCTTTGCTAGAAAAGTTAAAGGAACGTTTTAACAAAAATATATCTTCTCCAAATACCAGTTGATTAATGAGTCACTGCATTTTTATATCATACTAGGATGTCAGTGCTCCATGTCTGGCACCAAAATAGAATTCGGTCCTTGGTAACCTGTTAACCTAATTAGCATCCCTGAATTCCTTTAAAATACATGTCTCACTTCCTATCTTTTATCCTTGATTCCTTTCATGTCTCACAGTTCTCTTAAAGGACTGTGTAGCCATCCCCTAATTTGGGTCTCCTTTTACCTCCAGTAGAAGATGTTAATTAAATTCACTTTTGCCAAATGAACATCATTCATGAATGATCATTCACTTTTGCCAAATGAATATCATTCATTTGATGTTCATTTGGCAAAAGTGAATTTAATTAACATCTTCCATTTGCTAGGGAGGAGTTGCATAGATAAAACAGGGCTCCCTTGCTCTAGAGAACTTATGACTAGCTGAGACAGATAATGTAATCAATTACAAAACACTGAGTTAAAAGCAATACTTGAGGGTGTGAACAGTAGGAGCTACTAAGACAATAGGGGAAAGCGTAAGAAAGATGGAGTTTTTATATTGTTCTTGAAGGACAAGTAAGTTTGCTGTAATTCTAGGCTAAGGAACCAGCATTGCAAAGGCATAGTATAACTTACATTCTGCATTTACAGTCAAGAGCCACAAAAAGTTTTAGAATAAAGAAACAGGCTGAGCATGGTGGCTCACACTTGTAATCTCAGCATTATGGGAGGCTGAAGCAGAATTCCTTGAGGCCAGGAGTTCAAAACCAGCGTGGGCAACATAGCAAGACACTGTACAAAAAAAGAAAAAATTAGCCAGAGTACCCCTGTGGTCCTTCTGCATTGAGTGGCAGAGGGACCACTCAGGAGGCTGAGGCAGGAGAATCACTTGAGCCCAGGAGTTTGAGGATACAGTGAGCCATGACTGCATTACTGCAGTTCAGCCTGAGTGACAGAGTGGCTCCCTGTCTAAAAGAAAGAGAGCAATAACTTATTTTGGCCTTAAATTAAAAAGTAAGCTATAAAAGGTATGTAGAGTCAATAAAAGTGCCTCAGGTGAGAAACCTGTGTGTGTGTGTGTGTGTGTTTATTTTTTTTGAGACAGGGTCTCCTCCTTTTGCCTGCTGGCATGCAATGGCAGAATCACAGCTCACTGCCGCCTTGACCTCTGAGTTTAGATGATCCTCCCACCTTAGCCTCCCAAGTAGCTGGAATTGTCTGGCTATGCCTAATTTTTGTATTTTTTGTAGAGATGGTGTTTCGCCATGTTGCCCAGGCTGGTTATGAACTCCTGTGGCTCAAGCGATCTGCCTGCATCAGCCCCTCAAAGTGTCAGGTGAGAAATTTAGGGAGAATGCCCAGGCTTATAGCTTGTTCTTCTAGGTAAAGGATAATGTCTTTCATTATAATAGCTAATCTAGAGCTACACTGTTCGGTAAAGTAGCCACTAGGCATAAATGGCTATTTAAAGTTCAATTAATTTAAAAATTCAGCTCCTCAGCCACATGAACCACATTTCAAGTGCTTAGTAGCTACACATGGCCAGTGGCTATGTTTTTGGACAGCGTACAACAGCAAGCATTTCCATCATCTCAGAAAGTTCTACTGGACGGTGCTAGTCTAGAGCAGGAGATAGTTGGGATCATGAATACAGCTGTCACAGGGTATGCTTGTCAGGGGATTCGTTGAAGGGTAGTCATTAACAATGTAGATACATCTTTGAGAGAAACTTCTTTGAGACAGGGTCTCGCTCTGTCACCCAGGATAGACTGCAGTGGCATGATCTTGGTTAACTGCAACCACTGCCTCCCAGACTCAAATGAATCTCCTGCCTCAGCCTCCCAAGTAGCTGGAACTACAGGTATGCACCACCACCACTGGCTGATTTTTTTTAATTGTTTATCGAGTTGTGGTTTCGCCATGTTGCCCAGGCTAGTCTCAAACGCCTAGGCTGAAGTGATCCTCCTGCCTTGGCCTCCCAAAGTGCTGGGATTATAGGCATGAGTTACTGTGCCCAGCAGCATTGTTTATAAGTGGCCTAAAGGAAACCCTTTAAAAATATTTTAGGTGTAAGTAGTAGAAAAGGAGATGTAAAGGAACAGAGAAGCTAGGACAATGAAAGAGCTTAGTAGCATGTAAGTTTCAGGAAGGGGGTCAGTGAGGAAGAGGGAAAAAAAAGACCTTAATGATTTGGGCAAGAGCAATTTCAGTGGAAGTGAAAAGCTCAATTGTAGTTTGTTGAAAAATAAATGGAAATTTCTTAAAAAATAAAAAAAATGGAGATGAAGTCAAATATTCAAAGTTTTTAAGAAGTTATACCTTGAGGTAAGTAAAAAAAAAAAAAGAGAGAGACTGATCTTGACCTTGTTTTCTAGGAGAGGGAACCTATGGAAAGCAAAAACTTCTGTTTGTTGGTTGGGTTTGAAGTTTTGGTTAGAAAAATGCACATTGGAAATAAATTTGAATTGTTTTTTTTGTTTTTTTTTGAGACGGAGTTTCGCTCTTGTTACCCAGGCTGGAGTGCAATGGCGCGATCTCGGCTCACCGCAACCTCCGCCTCCTAGGTTCAGGCAATTCTCCTGCCTCAGCCTCCTGAGTAGCTGGGATTACAGGCACGCGCCACCATGCCCAGTGAATTTTTTGTATTTTTAGTAGAGACGGGGTTTCACCATGTTGGCCAGGATGGTCTCGATCTCTTGACCTCGTGATCCACCCGCCTCGGCCTCCCAAAGTGCTGGGATTACAGGCTTGAGCCACCGCGCCCGGCCTGAATTGTATTTTAAGAAAGGGAGAAGGAAAAGGAGGGGCAAAAAGCTTGAGGAAAAAGAGGACAGTTGGAAGAGATTGACATCTGATAACCTTACCTACCAGTCTATTAGAGAAATGGTGGGAGTGGGATAGAAAAGATGGAGATAGTCAGGTTTAAGAGTAACATTTGGAAATAGTGCCTTAAGGAAAGAGAACTGAGAAGTCATGACATTCCAGATACTAGTTAAGGTTGGAATCCATAAATTATAGTGGCTCCAATTTACTCTAAGGTGATTTTCCATAGCAGTACTGCAGTGAAGTTAAATTGGTAAGAGTTGAGAATATGAGGAACAGAAAGAATCAAAGGTGCGAGCCGCAGCCTCCCTACTAGCTTGCATGCTCTTTGAGGGTCTGAACTTTTGCAGTTCTCCTGGCAAAAGCATTTAAATGATTGTTTCATGACTAATTACTATTTATATCTGTCATCATCTTACATAATTCAAACATAATTTTTAGCTTTCATCTCTCTAGCTTATTTTTGTCTTTTGTTTTACATTTGTAATAACTGGAATTTTGTCCATTTGGGGGGAGTTATTTAAAAAAAAAAAGGAACTTGACTGTCTTTTGTTTATCATCTACTTTATAATGCTATTTTTATCATTACAATAGGTTTTCCGAAATTCTCTGTATGCACCAGATTATTCTTCTCGTTTAGATATTGTAAGAGCAAATTCAAAGTCACCTCTTCAGAGATCACTGTCAGCTAAGTGTGTATCTGGAACAGGACAGGTGAGTAGGAAACCATAATCTAAAGGAATTTGAGCTGCTGCCTTTGGAGTTGTCGAGTTCTAAAAATGTTTCCCCTCAGTCATCACAACACATGTAACTTATTCTCCCTGGACCTAGGTGCAGCTCTGTTATTTCTTAAATATCTTTTATACTGTAATCTATATGTAATAAAGCATAACACTTGAGAGCAGAAGTGAAAAAAGAATGCTAATGCAGATGTGTTATCTGCTATAGTATGAAAACCACAGATTCTGAAGTCAAAACTTAGGTTTCAATCTATCAAGACTTAGTGGATCTATCTGATTAAATTATAAATATAAATTTAAATACCAAATTATACCAATAAAGGGCTTTTGCTGAATACAGAAATCATTTCATTTTTTTCTATATCCAGAAAGCCTGAGTTTCCCAGTATCTAGAGCAGGGTCTTTTTCTGTAAGACGTGGAGACTAAATGCCTTAGGCTTTGTGGACCATATGGTTTCTACCCAACAACTATAAATAACAACTATAAACACATAAAGTGGTATGACTGTGTTCTAATAAAATTCTGTTTACAAAAGCAGGAGGCTGGCTGGGCCATAACTTGCCAAACCCTGATCTAGTATACTATGCCCTTTTTTTCATATCTAGCTTTCAGAATACAAAATTAAGCAAACTGTTTTCAAAATGCAACTTTCAGGTATACAACTTTTAGGTAAATAAAAGTTGTATTTTGAAAACAGTTTCTCAGCCAGGCGCAGTGGCTCACGCCTGTAATCCTAGCACTGTGGGAGGCTGAGGTGGGTGGATCACCTGAGGTCAAGACCAGCCTGGCCATCATGGTGAAACCCCATCTTAATTAAAAAAATAAAATAAAAAACAGTTTCTCATTTCTATTTTCTATTTGATTTTCATTTGATTCTCCTCTAAGCATTTGTTTTATACGTATATCTCTCCCAACCCAGTATTTTTATTATTCCAGCATTAAGTGCCTTGAACATAAATTTCATAAATTAACTTTTATAGTACATATTAACATTTTGACTACAACTAATATTGTTACCTTAACACTTGTATAGCACTTTAGAATGCATTATCCCTAGGTTTCTCAACCTGAGCACTACTGACTTTGGGACAAATAATTGGGCCCACCAGGGAGGAAGAAGGAGACGGAGTACTGTCCTGTATATAGTAAAGATATTAAGCAGATATTAACATCCCCAGCCTCTACCCGCAAGATGCCAGTAGCACACATAAACACGCAGCCCCAATTGTGACAGTGTCTCTAGACATTTCCAAATGTCCCCTGGGTTAGATATAATCACCCTCAGAGAAGTTTTAAGCAACATAGCCCACGTGTGGCAATCAAGCAACTTAAAGCTTAAGTTTTAACTTAAGGTTAAAATTGAAGCTTAAGTTTTAACTTAAGCTTTAACTTTAATCTGAATTAAAACTTAATTCAGATTCTCAACCCTCATTCCATTTAAATCACATTACTTTTATATCAGTATTTCTGTCCCACTCCCTAGCTGAAATATCCTTCTATTTTCGCCATCCATTTTATGATTCTCAGATACTGTTTTTGTGAGCCAAAATTTATGGTTAACATAATATGCTGAGTTTATACTTTTTTCTTGAGACAGAGTCTCACTCTGTCACCCGGGCTGGAGTGCAGTGGAACAATCTCGGCTCACTGCAACCTCTGCCTCCTGAATTCCAGTGGTTCTCCTGCCTCAGCCTCCCAGGTAGCTGGGACTACTACAGGCATGCGCCACCATGCCGGCTGATTTTGTATTTTTTAGTAAAGACAGGGTTTCACCATGTTGGCCAGACTGGTCTCAAACTTCTGATCTCAGGTGACGCACCCACCTCAGCCTACCGAAGTGCTGGGATTACAGGCGTGAGCCACTGCGCCCAACCTGGGTCTATACTTTTAAGGTGATATTTTTGAAGTATTGATGGCTATCCAACTAGAATCAAATGGTTAATTACACATTGTTATTCAAAAAAATATGAATGAAAAAACTGACTTCTAAGCTTAAAATTCATAGGGAATTTTCACTACTAAAAGTTACAACATATGGACATTTTTCTGAAATAGTTGTGTGCCTTTCGCTATAATAGCATAAAAAGATACCAAGCATGTAAAAATTTTTTAGTATCTTTATTTTTTAAAATATGTTAACTGTTAACAGGTATCCACTTGTCGACTAAGAAAGGATCAACAAGCAGAAGATGATGAGGATGAAGAATTAGATGCTACAGAAGAAGAAAATTAATTGTCTTAACTATGTTTCCATTTTCATCATAAATGACATGAAATACACAATGACTAAATTGTAGAACTTTATATTCACTTTGATATGTTAAGCCTCAAAATGAAGACCAACTAATGGAAACTTATGCTGACCACAAATGAAGGCTTGAAAAAATATTACACATCAGTTATTTCAATATCCTACCTAGTGTTACGTGATTTTTGCGTTAAGTACCATTCTTTTTAAAAGATGGTATATTTCAAAGTATTTCATATTAATGCACTGTATCTACTTGAAGTTCCAATAGTACATTATGACAGACACCAAAAGATCTAACAATTCCACTTAGCTTCTTTTAGGTTAAGACTCCATGCTTTCATAACCCCAGAAAAGGGTCCTAAGTCATCATTCTGATTACATGTAATTATATTCCATGAAGCCTTAAGAAACAAAGATTTTTTTATGCTTTCCCTAAATTTTTGTTTTATCGTTTGATAAGTAAATTTACTTTTCAAGAAGAGTATTACCAAAGAGTAAAGATAATGTGACACTAAGATATCAATGTTTTATGTATACACATAAAGCATAAATTTCAACTGTAAAAAAAGCCACATTCAATCTGACTCTGGTTTTAAAACTGCTGTCATACTTATACATGATACTGCAACTTTTGGAAGGCTAGTAATTTGGTGAAATGTTTCCTGATCATAGAATACCATAAACTATTAAAAATTCTATAAGATTGGCCAGGCGCGGTGGAGGCCGGCAGATCACAAGGTTAGTAGTTTGAGACCGGCCTAGCAAACATAGTGAAACCCCGTCTCTACTAAAAATACAAAAATTAGGTGGGCGTGGTGGCACATGCCTGTAATCCCAACTATTTGGGAGGATGAGGCAGGAGAATCACTTGAACCCAGGAGGCAGAGGTTGCAGTGAGCCAAGGTCACACCACTGCACTCCAGCCTGGTGATGGAGCAAAACTGTGTCTCAAAAAAAAAAAAAGAAAAATTCTGTAAGAATTTTACCAAGCCACCATATAGTTAATAAAAGGGTATACAGTCACTTTTATTTCTGAAAAATATAAAACAATTGGAGCCTTTCAGTGTAGCTGATGCTTCTGTCTCTTTTGGTAAGTAATTATACTTTTATTTCATGGATACCAGACAGGCATGTAAAAGTTAAAGAATTTATAAAATCATTTGAGATAATTCAAAAATGCAATTATTCATAACAAAAATACTTTCTAGAAAGTTTTTGACTGTGTCATTCATGGCTCTGTTCTTAACAAAGCACTCTTTCCTGAGAACAGTCCTAAGTGACAAAGTTATTTCAGTACTTTTTTGTAAATATTTAAAACATTTAAAAACCCTAAATAGATATTCTTTTTTTTTTTTTTTTTTGAGATGGAGTTCCGCTCTTGTTACCCATGCTGGAGTGCAGTGGCACAATCTCGGCTCACTGCAACCTCCGCCTCCTGGGTTCAAGCAATTCTCCTGCCTCAGCCTCCCGAGTAGCTGGGACTACAGGCACGCACTATACCATGCCCAGCTAATTTTTGTATTTTCAGTAGAGATGGGGTTTCACCATGTTGACGAGGATGGTCTCAATCTCGTGACCTCATGATCCACCCGCCTCGGCCTCCCAAAGTGCTGGGATTACACACATGAGCCACCGCGCCCGGCCAATAGATATTAAGAAGAAGGTATCATTGGCTATTTACTGCTTTCTCACTCAGTATTTAAATTTGGTGGTGTAATCTCAGGGAAAACAGTTACTGTATCTTGCTGCTTCCTAAATGTGAAGAGCAACTTCTCTTGAGCATTATTTGCCTTATTGGTAAAGTTAAAACTGCATAAAACAATAATTCTGGAATAAAACATACATTCTGCCTACCTCAAAGAAATACTTTAAGAACAAAAGGAATACTATCCATGAAAATACTTTCATTAATGTAAAATTTTCATTAATTAGACCATTAAATATTTTACTATCTGCCAACCTAGGTCTGGTATCATTTTTAAAGGGCCAGATAGTAAATATTTTTACTTTGTGAGCTGAGGCAAATTCAAGACTATTAGAAGGGTACTTATGTAACCATTTAAGACTTAAATACACTTAAAAATGTAAAAAACCATTCCTTGCTTCCCACTGCCACAACAATAGGCAACCAATCAAACCAACCCAGCCTGTAAGTCTCCCTATCCATTATCTCCAAACTAGGAATAAAATTGGGTATCCTTTATCTGAAGTGCTTGGGACCAGAAGTATTTAAGACTTTGGATTTCTTCAAGTTTTGGAGTATTTGCATTATACCAGTTCAACATTCCTAACCCAAAAAATCTGAAATCTCAAATGTTGCAATGAGCATTTTTTGAGCATCATGTTGACACAGAAAAAGTTTGCGATTTTCGGACCATTTGAAATTTCGGATTTCCAGACTAGGAATACTTGACCTGTAGTACATGTACTAGGATTCTCAAAATTAAATAATAGTTAATTCATAATTATACATCACATAGTATCTAATACAGCTCAATAAAAGCTTATATTTACTGCAAAAACAGCAAGGTCACTGCTTAACAGGCGGTAACATGGCTCAAGAACCACAGCTCTGAACAGTGTTCTCAGTAAATTGATAGAAAAGCACTCCTAATATAATTTTTACCTATCTTGGTTGTGAGATTGACTTTCTAGACACGATCTACATTTTTTTAGATAACTTCTAGACAAAAATGTATGGCTTTAAGACAAATGCCACTGGATATCAGACTAGAGAATATGCCTCCAGTATACCTTCAGGATAAGAGGAAAAACTGGCTGAGATGATAATTATTGAAGCTGAGTGATGTGTACGTGGAAATTTATTTTTATGTTTGAAATTGATGAGGTGCTGGGAAGCTGGCTCTCTGAGGGGAACAACGGGAGGGGAATGCCTTGATTTGCTGCATTTATCAATTTCTATGGTGTAAATACTCCTGCCATGGTCAATTTGTTATTGACTTACCACTAAAGGCACAGTTGGGGAAAGATGTGCAAAGATGGCTTCCAACTAAAATATACCACTTTCTGTAATAAACTTTTTATAATGAAGTTTAAAAATACTAAACACTGCTATATTAAGGAGTAAAAGGAAATATTCACATTAATTTAAAAATCAAAATATAAGGCTGGGCACAATGGCTCACACCTGCAAACCCAAAACATTCTGGGAGACCAAGGAGGAAGGACTGCTTGAGGCCAGAAATTCCAGAACAGCCTGGGCAACACAGAGAGACCCTGTCTCTCCAAAAAAATTTAAAACTTAGCCAGACAAGGTGGCACACACCTGTAGTCCCAGCTTTCAGGAGGCTGAAGCAGAAAGACAGCATGAGCCCAGGAATTGGAGGCTGCAGTGAACCATTATCAGACCACTGCACTCCAGCCTGGCCAACAGAACAAGACTCTAGCTCTTAAAATAAAATATAACTACAAAGCTTATGTTTACTATAGCCAGGCTCTTATCTGCCACCCCAGCCCAGTTTGAAAACCAATTCCACAATAAGTAATCTCTCATGTAAAGCTTCTTAGCTTTATTCCTTTGTATTTGAGAAGTATTTTTTAACTTTTCATATATTATTCAAGATGGCTGACCAAATGAAGCATCTATACAATCTTTGCTCAATTAGAAATATTTCTTTCTTCATTGTGCTTGGTTTCAATATTCCAAACAATTTAACATTACCCTAGCTACTTACAAGCTTATAAAGAATCATACTGAGGTGCTTTTTCATATCAAATTTACCTGTTTATTCATTCTATAGTGAGCAGACTTTGTTTATTCACTATTTAAAACAAAGACAAATTTAATCAGATTTTTCTTAGATTTCCTTAAATGACTGAAAAGTAACACCAAAGATACGTATAGGTACTAAAAAGTGTTCTACCTATGCAATAGCCTTAAATTACCATATGTAAATTCAACTATATTCTTATTTATTCAACGTGTTAAATCTGGATTACAGAATTGAGGAAAATTATGTTTTACGTAAATTATAAAAGGCCAACCAAAGTCAATCACGTTAAATAAAATGAACAATTCTGAAACAGAAGCCAGTAACATACAATGTGAATATCCCAAGAGAAATCCTAAATATAAAGAAACTTTTAAAGTCTTTTATTTTTTTAATTAACAATGTTTGAGCATGCTGGTTTTACCTTTTTTAATGCTAATCTTAAACCAATAATTGAAATAAGAAAATATCACTTATCTTTGCAAGTATCATTAGCATGGTCTTCCTAATTTAAAATACCACTTTAAAAAGGCAGCAAAATTAAGCATGAACTGGAGTCAGTGGTCTGGGTTGAAATTGGCCCCATGATTTAATACCTGTGACTTCAAGCAAGTTACTTAATCTCCCACTTCATTATCTCATTTGTGAAATAGAGGTAAATAACCCTGTACTCATAGGGAATACTGAGATTATGCATATAAAGTGCTTACAGTGCCTAGCACATAGTAAGTGCCTAATGTTAGCTATAAATATTATTATGGGTATAGAAAATCAAATTCCCTATCTGAGAAATTATGCAATAAATGCTGAATATCAAAGAAGTCAAAATTCAACCACACAAGTCTTAGTTATGGAGTCTTTGCATGGATACAAAGTTTTGAAGCTAAAAAATGAGAACCTAGTATTACATGCAAGTTATGTGACTCATCAGTAGATCCCTCCTAGAAAAACAAACTATACCATCTGTCAGATTCTTCCCAGCATAAGCCTGAGTCCCCTTGTACTTACAATTAGATTCTTACTTTACTGTCTTTTGAGTGTGTTGTATTATTCTTATTTTGTTAAGACGTCGAAGAAACCATGGAATTACACACAGCACTATACATTATTATTATAGAATGTCTGGTCCCTCCCACGATAAATATGGTTTAATAAAGCTATTGAAAAACTTCACAATATCAAGCTGCAATTTTTTTTCTTTTTATACAAATACAAGTTAATTAGTTGCTCTATTAAGTTGCAATTTTATTTTTATAAAACTTTGTAAAGTTTTGAACATGGAAACCCTAAGAATCACCTAAGCTTTTTACATAAGTAAATTTCAAGTTGACTGTCCACTTTGAACTATTTATAATTAACAGGACACTTAACACAGTAATATCTCAGACAAGGAAGAGGGCATTAATTCTGCAGGCAGGTAGCAATGAAAATGCCAAACCTGAACAACCAGTCACTATTTCCTTACATAGTTTGAGTAAAAAATGTAGACTTCAGAATGAAAAAAAAAAAAAGTGAAATGTATCTTCCCCAAATACAACTCTACTTCAATGAGTCTTGAAGCTTACCCATGACATCAACAAAAATGAATGAACTCAGGGAATTATTTCTCACCATCAAAGAAAAAAACAGTATGTATAATTTTAAATTAGAAAAAAAATGAATGGCAATTTGCAAGCAAAAGAAAACCAGATTCACATTCTACTATTTACATTTGTTCTATTCACAGGTCAAAATTAATACATTTCACTAGATTTAAAAAAAAAAAAAAAAACCTTTTAAAAACACATGTATTTTACTCTATCAATACTGCAAGGAAGATAACTGAATTTAGAAATGCTCTCTACAACAAAGTTAACTTTACTTTTCGGGGCCCAACTGGCCTATCATTTAGATCTTTAATAGCAGCCATAGCTTCATTATAGTTTATCATAGCAACAATGGCTTCCCCTGTAGGTAAGCCTTGCTCATTATACTGAATTGAAACTGAATCAGGTATGATTCTATAACCGTGGAAGAAGTCTAAAATTTCATTAACATTAGCTTTAAATGGAAGATTCATGATCTTAATAGGAGTTACTCTACCTGAACCACAATTTATCTTTGGATCAGTAATAAATCTCCCCTCAGCAAAACTTCCCATATTATGCTTCCCAAAATCAAACTTGCCACCTTCTGGGCGACCAAAATTCACAAAAGGGCGGTGACTTCTGAAATCATCAGGAGGGCTCCTAAAATCCTCACCAGGAGGTCTAAAATTGTCAGGAAGTCTAGGGTCCTCCTCCAGAGCTTCCCTAAGGTCTTCCTCTGGGAGCTGCCTGAAGTCCTCATCAGAAGGGCATCTAAAATCTTCCTCCTGGGGGCTCCTGAAGTCCTCATCAGGTGGGTGCCTAAAGTCTTCATCGGGAGGGCTCCTGAAGTCTTCATCTGGTGGGTGCCTGAAATCTTCCTCTCGAGAGCGCCTGAAATGCTCCTGAGGCGGACGCCTGAAATGCTCCTGGGGCGGTCTCCGGAAGTGCTCCGGGGGTGGCCGCCTGAAATGCTCCGGAGGTGGCCGCCTGAAATGCTCCGGGGGTGGCCGCCGGAAATGCTCCGGGGGTGGCCGCCGGAAATGCTCTGGGGGTGGCCGCCGGAAATGCTCCGGGGGTGGCCGCCGGAAATGCTCCTGAGGTGGCCTCCGGAAATGCTCTTGGGGTGACTGCCTGAAGTCCTCCTCAGGGGAGTGCCTGAAATCCTCCTCTGGGGGCCGCCTGAAGTCATCCTCGGGTGGTCGCCTCCATTCTCCCTGAAGAGGCCGCCTAAAGTCCTCCTCTGGGGGCCGTCTCCAGTCCTCCTCGGGTGGCCGCCTGAAATCTTCCTCTGGGAGCCGCCTGAAGTCCTCCTCAGGAGGTTGCCTGAAGTCCTCCTCAGGAAGCTGCCTGAAGTCTTCCGTGGGAGACCGCCTGAAATCCTCCTCCAGTGGCCGCCTCCAATCCTCCTCAAGGGGCCTCCTCCAGTCTTCCTCCCTAGGGTGCCTGAAGTCATCCTCCGGAGGGCGCCTGAAATCTTCCTCCCAAGGGCGCCTGAAGTCCTCCTCAGAAGGCCGCCTGAAGTCCTCTTCCCGAGGTCGTCTGAAGTCCTCTGGGGAGCGCCTGAAGTCCTCCGGGGGAAACCTGAAATCTTCTGAGGAGTGTCGGAAGTCTTCTGGAGGGTGCCTGTCAGGCTGCCGGAAATCCCTCTGGGGATGCTTGAAGTTATCTAGTTGCCTCAGGTCCTCTAGTTGATGTCTAAAGCTTTCAAAAGGACCAACTGAGTATATTGGTGGGTCTTTTGAGTCAAATAAATGGGAATGATCACCTCGCTCACGTGATTGTGAGCGAGCTGGCATCTTCTCACTGGACATCGCGGAAAAATTTACACCGAACTCCTGCATTTGTGCCTCAGATATAAGTCTTAATAACACCTCTGTCCCTAAGAATCTTCGTCGGTTTAAACGTTCAGCTTTCATGGCCTGTTCTTCTGATTTAAATTTCACTAATGCTTCTCCCAGACCAACACCTTTGTCATCATAAAGCAAGTAAATGTCATCCTCAGCAAGAAGAAAGTCTGCAAAGAACTTCTGCACTTCAACTTTTGTAACATCAAATGGAAAATTTCTTATATAGATGCACAGCTTCTGGCCAGAGTTACCTTCTTGAGAGTATTTCTGTGAAACATGTCCAGGCCTATCTCTCTCTAGTGAACCTGATCTCTTCTTTTCATAACGTGCAATGAACTTCAGCATTTGTTTTCTAGAAATTGGATCAATATGAACTGGACGATACTGTAAAACAGTCTTATGTAAACTCAGAGCAGTATTGTAGTCTTTCAGAGTCTTGAACCTCACAAAGGCATATCTTGTTCTATTTTCATCTTTATATAAAAATCTAATCTGTTCATCAGTCAGATCAGTACCTCTAAAGAAATTTCTTAAATCTCTTTCGTCAATACTGAGGGACAGATTTTTTAAGTGAACATAAAATCCAAGAGGGGAACGAGAACGTGTCCTTCTGGGAGATTTTGAATGAGACCGTTTTCTAAAATGTCTATCATTAATTCCTCTTGGTGGAGAATGTTCTTCAGATCTCCTAAGAATGTCACCCTCCTTAACTGCATTACCACCAAACTCAATCCACTGTTGTTCTGATCCTTGCATTACTTCTATAAATCTTGAACCCATAAAACTTCTATGACATTTAAGACCTCCTGAAGCATCAACACAGGAAGCAAATTTTACTATGGCATCACCATTATTTCGGCCATCATGATGTTTTAAGAAAATTACTCCATCCACACACAAACCAGAGAAAAAGACACGTACATCATCTTCATTTACTAGGTAAGGCAAACCTCGTAGAAACAAGTAAGGATTCTCGGCCTTCAATGGCCTTGTCTTTCTTGGCCTTAAATTACCATGTCCTGTACCATTAGTATGAAACCCAGCATCTTGATTAATTGAAGAGCCATATCCAGAATTACTTGCTTCTTCCTTAACAGACTCAATAAAATTAGACAGGCTGCCAACCCCTGATGCCCCAGATCGTGGGCGCCCTCTTCCTACACGATCAGTTCTTTTCATGTCTATAGTCTTCTGCATTTCTGCCTTGCTACTAAGAAAGAGCTCTACAGATGAATCCTTGATAAACCCTCCTGAACGACTTATGGCACGTCTTGCATCTTCATCTGTTGCAAAAATAATAAAAGCCTCCCCAATTTCCCCTCCAATTATATGCACTCCTCCATCAGGAATAGTCAATCCCGTGAAGAAGTGACGAATATCCACAGGCCCCGCAATAAAAGGAAGCCCCAGTAAACGGATGACTACAGCCATGCTGAGCTCAAACCACAGCAATAATGACCTGCAGACAAAAAGGTACACATAATAGCAAGTCTTATTTTTGAAGTACCTTAGCCCAAACTAAGTTTAATAATTACCTGGTTCCTGCTTCCTTCAACATTTATAAATGAAAACAAGTTCACAAAAATACTGATCATATCTAATTATTAAACAAAACAAGGAATAAACTTTCTCCCATCTAAAAATACAAATAAACCAACTACCTTGAAGAAACATTTCGTATCACCTATTCTATACAACGGGAACATCAAAAATATAAAAATCTTCCTTTGTAAATCTGCCAAATGCTGCTTCAAAGACCAAACTACTTTCAGACTCATTTAGAATCTTATCTTCTACTGAAACATGAGAGCTTTGTAGATTAAAGCATTTTATCAACTGCAATGAATTTTGCATATTTAGAAAAGTCGTCTATGGTTAGTATATAATTTTTGCTCATCATAAATTGCCTACCACTGGCCAAACACAGAGAGCAAAAGCCAGGGCCAGTATGATGGCTCATGCCAGTATGATGGCTCATGCCAAGGCTTTGAAAGATCAAGACAAGAGGATCGCTTGACGCCAGGAGTTCAAGACCAGCCTTGGCAAGAGAGCGAGACCTTGTCTCTAAAAAGAATAAATTAGCTAGATGTGGTGGCATGCACCTGTAGTGCGTCCCAGCTACTCAGGAGGCTGAGGCAGGAAGACTGCTTGAGCCCAGGAATTTGAAATTTGGGGATACAATGGGCTGCAACTCTGCCACCACTGCATTCCAGCCTGGGTGACAGAGTAACACCCTGTCTTTAGGAAAAAAAAAAAAAAAAAAGAACAGAAGCCATAGGTACCTAGATATACTATTCTACTTCACATGTTTTTTTGTCAAGCCTCTGTAAAAAGCCTTAAACTCTGGATATCTTACCTTTTTTTAAATTTCTTGTAGACCTGTTAATTCTGTAAAAGCAACTTAACTGTGGAAAGAAAATGAAATATAATTAATCCTTGAACCCTGTAATTTATCTTAAACAACGCCAGATTAGGATATCCATTTCAGAATTACCTATCAAAAGTGAAGCAATATAAGGAACCACAATTACAGGTGTTAGAAAATGGTCTTTTGTTCCAAGGGGAAATTAATCATCCTTCTGCAAAAAGGAGATACAATATCCAAATAGACACATAAAAATTATTTAAAAATTTAAAACTTGCTGAAAATTGAACAACTGCTCCTTGATTGGAAGTAGCATGAAGAAAGGAGTGACAGAAATGTTATATATTTTGAATGCAGTAGTAGTTACATGGGCGTGTAAATTTACCAAGGTTTACTGCATTGTATCATTAGGGTCTACATATTTTGCTGTAGACAAGTTTTACATCTACCTCAAAAAACTGTTCTACAAGTAAAATCTCAAGAGTACGAAAAGTTCAAAAAAGAAAAAAGAACTTCAATCATTTTGCCACATGAAAATCCACAAATCTAGTTCATATTTATATCCAACTCTCGTGCTGTTCTCCCTTTCAAAACATACAACCAAATCAAATTAAAGCAACCATTCAAAATGATACAATAAATGAATAAAACAGCAAAGCCTGAAATCCAAAAATCAATTTTTAAAAGAATAAATCCAAACCTATGGCTACTGTTTGGATGCAATTTAAAGGTCTGTATAAACAACTCACACTTACACACACAGGACCAAATTTCATGATGCCAGTAGAATTAAGGTAAATACCACAATATCCCTAAAGTCAAAAATCTCAATACCACTCCTTACTGCAAAAATAGTAACTATTAAAATTCATCTCAAGCCAAACAGAAAATGCTAATAATAATGCTAATATTAATAATGGCAATAGCAGATTTCCATTTCAAACAACTATTCCGCATTCTGCTAAGGAAACCCAAATGACAATGCAGAAAAGTAAAAGTAAAAATAAATTTGGAATACTGGGATTACCAGGTCACTGAAAAATCTCAAAGTATTTTTTTAAAGAAATTTGCGTTTAATACTTTCAGGAATACCCAACCTATTTCATGAAGACTTGCCAAACTAATCATTATAATTTACACTTTTGGGAAGGGAGGAGACAAGGTCTCACTCTGTCACCCTGGCTGAAGTGCAGTGGCACGATCTTGGCTCGCTGCAGACTCAACTTATCCATGCTCAGGCAATCCTCCAACCTCAGCCTCCCAAGCAGCTGGGACTACAGCTGCACACCACCACACCCAGCTAATTTCTGTATTTTTTGTAGAGCCAGGGTTTCACCATGTTGCCCAGGATGATAGGGAACTTCTGGGCTCAAGCAATCAGCTTGCCTCAGCCTCTCACAGTGCTAAGACTTACAGCTATGAGCCACTGCACCTGGCATAATTTACATGTTTTTAATGTACAAACAAATGTGGCTTTAATCCAGTACTTACACTTAAGTATCACTGTTCCCCAAAGTGGGGGTCTGAAGACATATGCACTGACGTCTGTTTTCCTTTAAAAAGGTTCCATATATTAACCAGAAGCTAAACTAGCAAAAACATCAAATTACTTCACACATTCAACATGTGAAAAATATTAATGAAGTTTGCTATTAAACTATTTGCACAGTAACAAAAAATTAAAAAATCCTATTTTCTTCAACAAACCAATATCCAGACCAAGACTTCAACAAAAACTATAAATGGTTTCTGGAATATTTATCCACATTAAAGTCCCAAGACTCCCTCCTATGCAAATTGGCTTAGCTACTCTTTTACTTTTAACATATTTCAGAAAGCACCATAAGAAATACGTATTTTTGTCTCTCCTAAGCTTTCTTAAAAATTTTAAAGCGATTTACCCTGGGAACATAAATTCATCTACAAGAGAAATTAGAGACGTTTCAAGGAATAATTATATCTCAAATTCAAAAAAAATCTAATAATTTATCCTACCTAACTTAAATACTATCTTTTTAACTACATAGTTTGAGCACAAATCTCATGAATTCCAATTCATGCAGACTCTTTAAAAACTTTATTCTCATTTGCCACAGTTAAAATACAACTAATGCTTAAACTTCTCTGCCCTTAAGACAGCAGGGTAATGTACCATTTATGCCTCTGCAGTAACACACATTGCAGACCAACTAAAAGAGACCAGCTCTCAAAATGGGCACTTCTGTTTCCAATATGCTATTTCCTTAAGCAAATTCTCCAGAAATTCTACTCTTAACACACTAAATTACACAAAAGCAAAACACAAAAATTATCCTAAAGTACTCTGCAATTAAAATTTTCCTAGTTATGAATGCAAAAAGTATTTTTGTGCCTTATGTATTTTAAGACATTAATCTGTTAAAATTTCTACAAAAAGAGAGTCCCTAAAAGGTCATTTGAGTAAGTCAGTGAAATAAAAGCGCATTTTAAATAACTCTGCTTTTTTATCAAACGATTCATCCCACTTAATCACCATCATAACTAAACAATATGTAATGTGCACCTTCTAATCAAGATTTAAGGAGATACGGAGAGGGAAACAGGAGAGGGAGGCTGAATTTGAATAGGTAATATCTCAGATCCATTTGATTTTTAACTAACGAAGAAAAATTCATTTTCCAGATATGGTAAGGGAAAGAATTTTTTTTAACTCTGTGACTACTTCGTAAAGCCCAAAGTCATGATGTAGCACATTCAAATTCTAAATGTGAGTTTCCCCTGCAGAAAATCATCTACACCAACCCATAATTATTCGTGATGATCCACCTTTTATAATGCAGATGTTTAAAATAAAAACCAAAGGTATAACCAATTAGAGCCATAGTCCCTAAGAAGAATTGTAAATGAAGACGAATCCACAGGGCACAGGACTTCTCCCAACATCCATCATCCTCAAACGGGAATCATCCGAAGGCATCGATTCTACAGCCAAAAGCCTTTGTCCACAATTCCCACGGGTCAGAGCTTCCTTCTTTCGCGCCAGGCCAAAGTTGCTACGTGGGATCCGATGTTGTCGCCAGACTTTCAGCCAAAATCAGCCTTCAAATTAACCTGGACCGCCCAACCTCTGTGCCTTTCCGTTATGCCGTCTCAAGGGTAAACATTCCAGCCTAACTCGCCAGAGGGTGAATTGCCCCCAAATCTAACTGAGAACACTTGCCCTTCTCAAGCCTAACGAGCCCGGCCTGCAGCGCTTTTCTGCCACCACTGACTACGATGACATAGCAAAGAAAAAAAAAATACCTATGAAATCCTTCGAGATCTTCACTCTCAAGATCCCTGGGAAGCGCACATACACCACCACATGGAAGCTGACGGGAAAGGGAGAGTCGGTGTTTTAGCAAGAAAAGAGGGTGCCCTAACTGCAGGCGCTACGCTAGATCCCCGGGCTGCCGCCGGCCCCGCCTTTCCCCGTTCTTCCGGCTTGGTCGTCCAGCCCTCCCCACCCGCGGCGCCCAGAGGGGAACTGCTTCGCACTTGGCAAACACACACCACTGCTGCCGAGTCGGACACACAAGGCCGGAGGCTGAGGGCACTCCTCGTCGCGGCAGCCTCCCAAGAACAGGCAGAGCCCTCAGTGAGCCTAGAAGAAGATGGCGCCCACGGCCCCTCAACCCCGGACAAACGGACGTACCGTTTGTCTGCCCATGCGCTCTCCCCGCGTAACCTACCAACACGCTTGCGCACGCGCGCTGCCGCTCACCGCCTTCCCTTGCGAGAGGAGGGGAGACGGAGCTGCGGTTGGCTGAGCTCCTGCGCATGCTCAGATTCTGCCCAGCCCAGGGACATCAACTTTGAAAACGTGAGAAATTCGGAGACAGAGTCAGGGCTCAGCTGGTAGGTGTACCGAAAATCTTCTGTAGACAACTGTCGAAGTGCAGTGGACAAACTTTCAGGATTTCTAGAAGTTAAGGAAAAAGATGCAAAAGCAGAGAAAAGACGGTTTGTCTTTTCAGTGTTGCATTACTATGCGGCATAAAGCATCTTCTAAAAAAGCTCCTGTGGCCGGACGTGGTGGCTCGCGTCTGTAATCCCAGCACTTTGGGAGGCCGAGGCGGGAGGATCACTTGAGGTCGGTAGTTCGAGACCAGCCTGGCCAACACGGTCTCTACTAAAAATACCAAAAAAATTAGCCAGGCATGGTGGTGGGCGCCTGTAATCCCAGCTACGGGAGCCTGAGGCAGGAGAATCGCTTGAATCCTAGAGATGAAGGCTGCAGTGAGCCCAGATCGCACCGCTGCACTCCAGCCTGGTCAAAAGAATGAGACTCAGTCTCAAAAAATAAAAATGAAAAAGGTCCTGTAAACCCCTGATGACCACAGAAATGGCAATTTTACTGCCGTAGATGTTCGCCAAATACAATCCCAACACCTGGGGATAAATAAATGCATGCTTAGTCAATTTTATAGATATTAATAACCTTGTGAAATGTCTTTATAAATTTGTTCCTACCATCTGGATTTTGTAACAAGAGAACAGATGAGCCAATACTGAAATTTCAGTAATGGAAAAGCAATATTGCAGGCATATTCTGTGATCCCTGGTACATAAAAGCTGGTGAACAACCTCTTGTTTGGTTTTATCATTTGCAAATAGCAAAGTTGCCCACCACGTTGTATACCTACATGGTGCATTTGTGGATGGATTCAAAGCTCATTAAGCAGAAAGTACATTTAAAACATATTGTTGGCCAGGCGTAGTGGCTCACGCCTGTAATCCAAGCACTTTGGAGGCCAAGACGGGTGGATCACCTTAAGTCAGGAGTTCAAGACCAGCCTGACCAACATGGTGAAACCCTGTCTTTAAAAAAAAAAAAGATTAGGCCGGGCGCAGTGGCTCAAGCCTGTAATCCCAGCACTTCGGGAGGCCGAGGCGGGTGGATCACGAGATCGACAGATCGAGACCATCCTGGTCAACATGGTGAAACCCCGTCTCTACTAAAAATACAAAAAAATTAACTGGGCATGGTGGCACGTGCCTGTAATCCCAGCTACTCAGGAGGCTGAGGCAGAATTGCCTGAACCCAGGAGGCGGAGGCTGCGGTGAGCCGAGATCGCGCCATTGCACTCCAGCCTGGGTAACAAGAGCGAAACTCCGTCTGAAAAGAAAAAAAAAAAAAAATTGTTACAGATGAGAGAAATAGTGAATTGTAAATCCCTTTTTCACTGCAAAATACTCATTCTTTGATGATGTGTTTATAAGAAAGAAGAGGTAGTTTGATAAGTAAATAAAAAGATGATTACCACAGTGATAGCCATCTTTACTTGCTTACACAAATTATCCTTGCAAGGGTCATTGACGAGTTTAAAATGAGGAAACTGACACCAGTATAAGAAAATTAAGTGTCAATTTATTCAGCTCCCGGGCGAGGTTCCCTAGTCCCAGGGAAAGGGGGCCGGAGAAGTCGCGCTGACTTCCTGGGGCGTGGGGTTTTTATGGCTGCGAGGACCGAGCAACAGCTGGGTGCTCTGACTGGCTCCAGGAGAGCCGGATTGGGACTGGGCGGGCCGCTCTTGGTTGGAGGGTTGTCAGGCGGGTTTTCAGGTGCAAGACCCGGCCAGGGGGAGCCACGCGGCAGAGCTAGGTGCCGAGTGCAGTGCCTGGTGCCGTGCCTGGTGCCGGGTGCAGAGTCAGGTGCTGAGTGCAGAGGTGGGTGTGTCCGGCCTTGCCACGAGGCAACCGGCCTTACAGTCCTCTCTGTGCCTCAGTTTCTTCATCTGTAAAATGGGGATGCTACTAGTACCTACCTCTGAGGGTTGTGGGAAACATTCAAAAAATATGTATGTCTCAGATATAGGTAAATAAGTGAGACTATTATAAGTATTTGTGACTTGAGATGTCAAGGTGATCTATAGCAAAGCAGAGGATGTCATTCTGAGGAGTTAGGCTGATTAGATATCATTTACCTTGATAATTCATAGTTTGGTCCTGGTCTTGCAATCTCAGGAACATGACCTTAAAAATTAACATTAGCCAGGTACAGTGACTCATACCCATAATCCCAGCACTTTGGGAGGCCGAGGCGGGCAAATCACCCAAGGTCAGGAGTTCGAGACCAGCCTGACCAACATGGTGAAACTCCCGTCTCTACTAAAATTACAAAAATTAGCTGGGTGTGGTGGTAGGCACCTGTAATCCTGGCTACTCAGGAGGCTGAGGCAGGAGAATCGCTTGAACCTGGGAGGCAGAGATTGCAGTGAGCCAAGACCATGCCACTCCATTCCAGCCCAGGCGACAAGAGCAAAACTCCATCTCAAAAAAAATAATAACATTTATTGAGTTTGTCATGTACAAAGACTTATGCATTATCTCAATTTATTTTTACAACTACTTTTGGAGGCAGGTACTATTATTTTTCCTATTTTACTGGTAAGGAAAACTGAGGCATAGAGGATTGTACAGCTTGCACAGGGTGACACGGTACATAATAAAACCACGCAAAATTGAGCCCTACTGGTCTGCCTGCAGAAGGCATTACTCTGTATTGCACAGCGAAGATTCTGTCCTCAGAGGCAGACTCCCTTTAAACAAGTATACAGAAGCAGTACTCTAAGAAATAAAACATGAGTTACCTAATCTCAGAAGGTGACTTTCAGTTAAGGGTCCCTGGAGACATTATCACTCATCTTAACAAAAATAACAGCCATCATTTAATGAATACTTACTATAGGACTCACCTGGCCAAGTGTGCTCAGATCAGACTCTGTCCTCTGAACAACTCTGACAGGTGTTGCCAGCCTCCCATGGCCTCCTTCATTGTTCTGGGCTAACCATCCTCCTTTTATTCACACAGACTTTCTCCAGCTTGGACACCATATTGAATGTCTGTCCTTTGGGGGTTTTTTTGAGACAGAGTCTCAGTCTGTCACCCAGGCTAGAGTACAATGATATAATCCTGTCTCACTGCAATGTCTACCTCCCGGGTTCAAAAGATTCTCGTGCCTCAGCCTCCTAAGTAGCTGGGATTACAGGCATGTGTGCCACCATGCCTGGCTAATTTTTTTTTGTTTGTTTGTTTTATTTGTTTGTTTTGTTTTTTAGTAGAGATGAGTTTTCACCATGTTGCCCAGGCTGGTCTCGAACTCATGGCCTCAAGTGATCTGCCTGCCTCAGTCTCCCAAAGTGCTGGGATTATAGGCATGAGCCACTGCACCTGTCCTAAATGTCTTTTCTAGTCTCCTGCTTGCTTTTCTGATGATCATACCATTATAATCAACAAGAAAATTCTGATCAATGAAATTGGAGCATAATCACATGATATTCTGGTTGTTGAACAGTTTCTTGTGCCTTTGGTGTGCCAGCATGAAAACTTAATCATTTTGGGAAATCAAGAGAAAATGAAGTTTCTCAAGTGGAAAAACAAGACTAGATCCTAAGCATGGTGACCACACTGAGCTGTGGCCATTCTGTGATTCTGCTTGGATAAATAGCCTTCCAGGTGTTTTACCATACTGTACCACCACCCACCCTTCATGGACAATTCTGGTCTCAGAGAGTTTTCAGTTCCCCTTCTTAGGTCTTCGGCATCCACACGAAGAGCCTTTTACCACTTAATCTCAGAGTTCCTTGATCTCCTCAACTCCTGGAACCTTTGTCTTCTCAACTCATTCCTTGATTTCTACTCTGAGAGCATCCACACCTTGACTTCTAGTCAATTTGTAGCCCAGGGTCCTGGGTTTGGGTATGCACTGTGAAAATGTACCCACTTGTAACTGTTGCACCCTGCGTTCTTGTTGTTTCAAAAAAGTGCTAGAAGGAAGCTCAGCCCCAGAAAAACAAAGACCAAAATAATTTGGATACAGAGATGCCTGAGTTGAAGATGAACTATGGCAAACTCCCCTTATTACCCTGCTAAAATCCCCACCCAGGGAAGAGCTTATTCACCATTTTCTACATGCAATGTATGTAGAAGCATGATAGGCAATGTGTCTTCACTTTCTTTACTCCACCTGTACATACAATGACGGAGCTAACCAGCCCAATAAAAGCACTGTTTTCACTGTTGCTTGGAGAAGCACTGCTTTGGGAACTATTCCCAGTGTCCCTCCTGTTGCAAGTAATGAAATCCCATTGTTAAATCCTCTTTGATTGTGGTCATTGGACTGTCACCTTCCAAGCTAACAAATCCACCTATTGTGTAGGTAACAAATCTAACTAGGATTTATCAAGCATCATAGACTATGAGTCAAGAGCCTTGCTAAGTCCTCTGTACCATAGTTCCATAAAAAAAGAAAAAGAGGAAGAGCCTTGCTAAGTCTCCTGAAAGACAAAGATAAAAAAGGTATTGTCCTCTTTCCTCAAAAAGCTCACATTTTAGCGGAGGAGAAAGCACACACATTCCACTAATCATTACACACAGGAAGATATGTGTGTGATGGGATTAAGAGACTGGGCTCTCAGAGCAGACAGACCCAAGTGTGAATATAGCTCTGCCACTCCATGACTGTGAATGAATTCCTTATATTTCTTCATTGAAAGAGTAAAGATAATAGTACCCACTGTACAGGGGAGTCATGAAAAATGAATGAAATCATTGAGACTCAGCACAATCCCCAGCACACAGTAAACTCCAGTATAACTTAGAAATCAAGGAGGCTGGCT